TACTTCAGAGAACATACTCTATATCTAGACACTGAACTATATTTGATTCTATTCAAAGTGAATGTATCGCGCCGCGTTCATTTTCCTTTGATCGTGACGCTTCGCTCGCAATGCAAGCATGTCGAGTTGCGCCCGCGCAGCTTTGATCTTTGACATTCTAGTTACACCCCTACTATTGAGATGTATACCGAACGAATACACAGTATTAATAGATATTAATACTAAGAAATACGTATTTATTTTATCATATTAACATATGGTTTCTCTTGATGTTTTATTTGATTCTGATTGGTTTTGTTATTATTATTTTTTGCTATGAACTGTTATTGGGGTTATGATTATTTGGAATTCATTGACATTTGTATCTATGTTTCTGATATGTTGAAGTTTTTCCCTGTAAAGTCAACGGACTTAGATTCAAATATAAATTTTTAATTCAAAATATATAATATTTTAAATTTACAAAACGCAAATTTTGCTTTTATTATGCGAGCAAAGCAAACATTTAATTTTCATTATTCGGTTGTAGTACTCATATGGCGAAACCGAAACACAACGCTAAAAACAAATATCTAAACTTTCCCTTTCAAGACAAAAACGTCTCCTATTATACAACAGAATTTCAGTAACAGTCAATTCCTGAAAGTCATTGAAGTAACTCAATACGCTATTAACTGAGCTAGCACGGGCCATGTACCGCGGTCGGCTGCAACTGTCCCGTGAAGACATCAAAGCTTGTGCCTGCGCAGCCGTCCGTACTCCGCCTATTTTAGGACCATGCCGGTAATTAATTTTTTGTCGTGCACTGTTTGGTCCTTTGTTGTATGTTTCTGGATGAAATGGATGATGGGATCGTGGTATGAGGGCCAATATTGTATTTTGAAAAGAATGAGGAGGTATTTTGGATGTTTATTTTTGTTTTATGGAAGTATAAGGCATCTAAGTTGGAGTCTCAATATGATAATGTCTTTCCAATCTAATTTAATATTGTTTTTTATCTACAATTTGCAATCGTGGATTAAAGGTGGCAGTGGCTTACAGTTTCTATAAGAAACTAAAGCAAACAATCCCTACATTATTTTCTCTCTAAGTGACGGCCACTTAAAATTATCGATTTGAAACTCAAACTAAGCTGAGTCACCTATTCTTGAATTAACTATTCTTCATATTTGTTTATAACTACATAGTTACAGACGTAGCAACAAAACTTCACTGAAACCAAAACGTTCCCATTGTGCATTGGAACAAAGTGCGCCATTCATGACGTCATCAATCAATGGCCGCCATATCAGAATGTTTATCCAAGCAAATAAATAATAATAACTCAACAACTAAATACCACAAAGGTGGACTTAAGTAAACAGTTGTTCAAACGAAAACCGATCTAATTGCAACTTTAAACCGTGGCAGTTGAGTTGAGTTTTGAATGAGAGCGAATGTTATAGTAATCTTGGTATTTATATCAATGGAAACCCTTATATGTGATCTAAAAACACCCGATGCCACTCATGTGGGCAAATATTTGTTAAGGAGAAGTTTACACTGAGCTTAAGGTTATTCCATAAATCCTTTGTTTGTTTTTTTAATACTTATCATAAGTACCGGTAAACTATGAGTTCTATTTAAAATGTCATAAGTTTATTCAATGATCTAAAAATTGTCTTTAAAAAATTTGGGAAACAGTAAAATTACATTTCTAATTTTAGATAAAATTATAAAATTACAAAAGAAAAATATTTTTTTTTTTCAATTTTTGAGAAGGAATCTTTGTTTCTTTTTTTAGACATTAAATACTTTTAAACGAAATCAATGTTCATCAATCCGTAAAAGATCTTAAAACGACAAAACACAATGCCAGGTTAGTCTACCATGGCCTTAACTTGTACCTTAAGTGGGGTCGTCTTAAACCTTTTCCGAGAGCAAATAACTATGTTTGTTCACAATTGTTAGTTCAAAACGAATGTACGTTTGTTCATAAAAAAAAACACAAAAATCCACTCAGTTTCGAGTGCGATCTACCGTTCTAATAGGATATGCGCAGGCGCAGGTAACTGTTTGCTTCTTTAAGATAATCCGTAGCGATCGATTTTAGCGGAACACTTTTGGAGTAGTTTTTTTTCTTTTTCAATGATACGATTCGGTTGAATTCTTTGGTAAGTTTGTTGTTATTATAAGGATTAATGTCATGTGTAAGTACTTCTGTTATGTGAAAAAACAACATGCTTCACCTACTCTAACGTTGGCGAATTTTCATGCTCATGTAAAGAAAAAAATGCAATATTTAATTTAGCAAGATATGGGTTGCTTTGAGAGCTATCACTATCAAAATTTAAATGTATATTTTGAAAATACTTCAGGGAATCCAAACTTTATATAGGTCTTCACGTCTTGTATTAGATATGAAAATACTGATCACATTGATATTTAGACACTCAACTTTAGCCGTTACCACTAGGGTGGAAAGGTGTAGTGATACAAACTCATAAGCTTATAGAAAAAAAATACAAATCTCATCTCAACTGTACCTGAATTTAAAAAAGAAATTTAAATTACTTATATGTATATTTTTTTTCAATTATGCAATTTTAAAAGCGGAAAAAATATATTATACCATTAATTACATACTTGCATATACTTACAGACGAAGGTAACAAAACGGTATTGTCACAAAAATATTCAGTTCAAGGAAAATGTGACATACATAGATGCAAATTAATATGTAGCAAGTTGTGAGGATTACAATATCACAGATTAACGTTAAGTTGTGCTAAGTGCGATGACCTTTGTCACACATTATTGTCGCATCAATTTGTGAATCAAGCATTATCTTTGAGTGACAGTGTGATTGCATCCGCCATTATTATTGTCAACATTATTTACATGGTGATAAGTTAATGTTAGTTTTGTATTGTTTCACCTCGTTCGGATTGCCGTGGTTTTAGATGTCCGCGTAGTGCGAAACCTGACAAGTAGGTACCAATGTGACTTTTTCCGAGTTATATGAACTTTTTATGATTAATTATTCTCACACCACTGAAGAACGGTTAATGAAAACGTCGAGAGGAATCCTGCACTTATAATTCTAGTATAAATTTTGGAACTGCCAATTCGCTTTGAGCTTACGTGGTGACTAATGAATGCTCTTCGTGTGAAAAGAGACCTTTGCTCAGCAGTGGGCACTTAAAGGATGATGATGGTTTTTTTTACTTAAGAAAAAATATCTGAAATAATCACTTTTGTATTTAATAATAACAGAAGCTATACTATAACTTTATAATATTATCTATCAATGGAAAGAAATACACAACACAATTCATAAATCTTGGCCCTTATATTAACTTATGTCAGAGATCTATTAGGAAGTTCATTTATATAAGTAGGTATTACATGACCAAATAACTTATATAGCTTCTACAGTTACATACTAAACATAAAAGTCGACAAAAATACAAAAAGGCAGTTCAATAGTTAATTACCAAGAACTGCTGAAGTGTTCAATGGAATCGATTCCGATTACAGATTCTAGCTGGAATCGGCATAAATTGCCTTTCAACTCGATTGCAAACGATTTATCGGACCCATCGTAATGACTTAAGACATTTTAGTATTTTAATGTTGTTGTAAGTCTAAGGGAAACCATTAAAGATTTAATAGAATCATCTGGCGCCGGACGTTTTACAAATACGTACTGAGGCTTTGATTACTCGAGGCTTTAAGGAAACGTTAATGCAAATCTCCTGTAGTCCGTACACTGTAAAGTAGACAGAGTAGTTCTCTACCGTGGTAGGTACCTAAAAACTCCTTTAGAAGACACGCGAACAAAAAAGGGAAGCGCACTTCCTCTATCCGCCCACCTATGTAATTTATCCTCATTATATCACATTAATCTACGATCAAAAAACCCGTCGCGAAAAAACTTGAGATCAAATCATTCGAAACGAAATTAGCGTCGGAGCCCGTGTAATCCGTTTCAAGGCCGGTTGTTTGAGAAATATACGTTTTTTGCGTTGTGCCGGCCACCGGGGCAATTATCTTACAACAATGCGACAGACTTCCATTGAAAAAAAGCCTTTTGGAAATGCTCAGCCGACTGAGATGAACGTACGGTTTTTAAGAACGAAACTTTGGGATTGTTGAGCTGTTTTTAGATTTATTTGGACATTGAGCGTACTTTTAGGCATGTTAATAATCGTAGATAAGAACTCTTATTTCATTAACAGTCAACAGTCAAAACTGTGAATCATTTCAACTTCGAAACTTGTTGCTTTACTTTGCACTGAGCCCTTACGTGTTCGTACCATATTACATATTAGTTATAACAGGAAATATGCAACCTGAGCTGTGAACAACTAGACACCCTGTATCCGTTGCGGTACAAGGAATGTAATCGATTGCTGACCTAGGACGCCATTTTGTGAGGTGGATATATGCCGCCATATTATGTTACAATTATAAACTTGATCTGAGAATATTCGCATTAGGTAAATCGTTTGTGCTTGGCTATCTAAAGCGGCATAATTTCGCCACTTCAATAAAATGTTCCGAATACAAATAGATATCGGATTTCAGTGTTCGTTTTCGTAAAATTTCATCGGTGCTATCTGTGTATCATTTATATTTTTAATCTTAATTTTCGTCTCCAAACCCTTCCTTTCCACTTGATTGCGTGACATCCGCTCCGTCTTCAACAAAAACAAGTCTCTCCAACGACCTTGCTATTGTCTCTCAACCTGTCATTTGCTGCTTTTTTGCTCAACCCGAGCCTCCAGCCTTCCCAACAGTCCTTTGTGAACGTTTTACTACAACTATAATATAAAATAACACTAAAATACTGTGGGAGCTTTTATGAGGAACGTCAAATTATGTTTTATTGAAACTTGTAATTTAAGCTTGGAATATTTTGTTTAATAATGTCCAAATAAAAATATCTGCTCTGAAATGACGGTCCTTTCAAACGTGTATTTAAAACAAATTGTAAAACTTGTATTCTTTGGTTTCAGATGGTGTTGTTCGCGGGTATACTGTCGAGTGGGTGCTCGGTGCACGCTCGGTTCCTGCTGTGCTCTGCGTTCGCTCCGCTGTGCTCGGAGGAGGTGTCCGGCTCCGTCAGCGCCTGCCGCGCGCTCTGCGAGACCGTGGTCGACGACTGCAAGGAACAACTCAAGCAGATGCTGCCCAGCATCGTCCTCGACTGCTCCGCCTTCCCCCTGAGAGCTGACCGGAGGCTGTGCATGCGACCGCCCAATGGTAGCGAGTCGTCTGAACCTGAACCGTTACCAGCTTCAAGATGGCCTTTCCACGATCACGACATAAGGGAGCATGGATGCCCGTCAGCATACACGAGGGCACCAACAGGCGAATGCTGGCCTGCGTGCGGACAACACGCTAGTTACACCCAGACTGAGAAGAGGAAAGCGGAAATTTGGATGAACACACTGGCGTGGTTCTCCTTACTGTCCACGTCATTCGCACTGCTCACATTCTGCGCGGAGCCGTCGCGGTACAGGTACCCAGAGCGACCCGTGGTGTGGATGGCAGCGTGTCACGCCATCGTGGCGCTGGCATACGTCGCTCGAAGCTGGCTGGGAGCTAAAATGGTGTCCTGCTCTGGCAATACGCTAGCTGTGGATGGCCTAGCGTCCCCGATGTGTGTCGCCTTCTTCTCCTTCACCTATTACTTCACATTAGCCGCGGATGCGTGGTTTGCTAACGCGTGCGTGGCGTGGTACCTGACTGCAGCTAGTGAATGGTCTACCGAGGCATTGGAACGTGCTGCTGCGTATCTTCACGCCGTGTCATGGGGCTGGGCAGGAGCATGGACGGCGGCCGCTCTAGCTTTGAGGAGAGTGACAGCTGACGAGTTGACCGGAACGTGTGGAATATCAGACGCTGCAGCGGCAGCGCTGATCGGCGTGCCGAGAGGTGCACTGTTAGTGACGTCAGTGGCTCTGGCCATCGGAGCGTGTCCCGGCATCATGAGGGTGCGGCGCGCGCTAGACTCCCGCGGGGCTAAGCGCGTGGGACGGCTGGCGGCGCGCGCGGCTGCGGCCGGGCTGCTGTACCTGGCGCTGGCGGCGCTGAGCACGGGCGCGCGCGTGCTGGAGGGCCGGCTGCGCCAGCGGCGCGCGGGGCTGGCGCTGCTGGGCGCGGCGGAGGCGGGCGCGGGCGCGGGCGCGCTGTGCGTGTGCGCGGCGCTGGCGTGCGGCGTGGCGGCGGGCGCGTGGGCGTGGTCGCGCAAGTCGGCGGCGGTGTGGGGGCGCGCGCTGTGCCCGCCGCGCAAGGCGTGCGTGGCGCCGCCACTGCTGCGCCCGGCGCGCTGCCCGCCCTACTACAAGCGCCCGCTGCACGTGTCGCGCGTCTGACGCGCCCGACGTGTTCATACTCGCGACAGGACGATAGACTCAGTGTTTAACTCGAGTGATCAAAAGTGCCTGGTGTTGCCTTCTGTGAAGGCGTTCTCGATTATAACTTTTTTGTAAAAATTGTAAATATTGTACATTTTATTAATTAATAATAATATACTGTTGTTTTTATATCTATTTCTTGGTTTCATTTATTTCGTCTTAATATTTAATACTAAATTGGCCCCAGAACAGGGGAGTTTCATCAAACTTCTGTCGCCCCTCCCTTCCGCCTCTCTGAGGTCAGTCCCTGAGGTCTGAGGAAACAACTATTGGCTGCTATACCTATCTCCTCGTACTGAATAAAATATTTCTGGCATATGATATGGCACTACACTGGTGATTGCACTACACATGATTCGCCGTAGTCCTTTCCACGACCATATAACCAGACAACATGCAAAACACTTCATAGTGGATATCCCACTTACATGCACGAAGCAATTTACAAAAAAGGTAGTACTGTTGGTGCGGTGGATGGGCAACTGGCTGCCGCGCAACGTGTCGCAGGTTCGATTCCTGCACGGAACAACTCTTAGTGTGATCCACAGATTGTAGTTTCGAGTCTGGGTGTGATGTGCGTGTTAAATTGTATGTTTGTAAACGCACCCACATCACAGAAGAAAATCCTAATGCGAGGCAACGTTTTTTTTTTTTAAAAAAAAACTCCTGCAGTTTTATCATCAGAACGGATAAGGAATATAAGTATTTGCCGAGGTCGTCAAAACTTGAGATAATAGGTTGTGGATGAGCGTAGTCAATTGTAGGTCATATCATCGCTTACGACCAGACGGGATAGCGGTCAAACGTAAGCCCAAAACACAAAAAAATGGTACCTATTCCGAAAAACTGAATTCAGACTTATCCAAACGATTGGCTGCCGGTTAAAACAGACGAACGTACTGCGTTTCGCGCGCGCCTCAAAAGCCAGTAGACCACCATAGATGGGGCCTTCAGCCGGAGTTGCGGAATAAGCGCGATGAGGAACTGCGGCATTGGCCCAGAGCAGGAGAAGGAACGGGGGGTTTTTAGTCAGTAAGAGTCTGACACTCTCTCTCGCCCGACCCTGGACGGCAAGAAGTCATTCGATGATATTCCCCACTCAAAAGAAAAACTCGCTAATGTAGTGGATCTCACGGCAGTCCCGGCAAAAAGAAGAACTAGGGATAGTAATAAAGTTCAACCGGGGCTGCGGGGCAAGCGCAATGAGGCACTGCGGCCTTGGCCCAGAGCAGGAGAAGGAACGGGAGCCTCTTAGGGGGGCGGGAGAAATAATTTGAGATGTTTTCTGCTACAAAAAAGGGATAGCAATAAAAGAAACAAGAATACATTGTAAAACAAATTTTATTATTAAACTGTTAAACATTATATTACACTGATACATAAGTTAGTATATATGACTCTCTATACAAAACAATACGTAGATAATTACACCATTTACAAATATGTTCCCTCTGTATAGTCACCAAACTATTTGATATCTATATAACAAACTAAAATATACTTTATGATAGAAGGAACAGAGTTGCTTATAGATATCTAGCGTTAGATCTGGGGGTTTTGTTAAGCTAGATTTTAATGTGTACAGTCAAAGGAAGGTTTTATGTATTCTCCTTTCGTAAAGATCTGAATAATTGAGTAGTTTCCGAGATCAAAAATAAATTAATTTGACGTTGCAATACAATAAAATATTAAAAAATAACTATACTTTTATTAATCGATCGATCGATACATCGAGTTTTAGATCTATTTTTAGCTAATATTTGAAAAATAAGTAAACTATTTGACACAAAAAAACTATGCCGTCGTAACTCAGTTTTTTATACACATAGAAAGGTACCGTTTTTGCCATTTGGATAAAAGTATTGAATTTGACTAGTCGGAAACAACCGTATTGTTGTGTACTAGGTAAACTTGAATTTAGGTCGTAATCGGTAAAAACTTAATGTACAATATAATGTTTATCGGGAACTTATACGAAGGCGCTGAAACTGACTCTTTATTTTATTAAACAAAATTAAATATAAGAATGTAGCTATACTAGCCACAGTACAAAAAATTGGAGTTTGAAGACATAGTGTAGAAGAAATTAATATATTAAATCATAGTAAAATAATAAGGGAAATCAGCAACAGTTTTAAACGCCAAAAGTAATGATGGGCTCCTAAAATTCATTATAATAAAATAATTAAATTTAATCTGAAAAAGGAATCTTGAAAAACGACTAGTTTTAGCTTAGGAAAAATGTTTATGATTACACTATAACAACCTCATTAGCCAATTTAATAAGAAAGAGGTTTAATTACTACAACAGTAAGTACGCCTAGATTTTTAATTTCAATTCTCAGCTTACACAAAACACCCAGAATCAATCAAATAATAAAAATGGCCCTGGAATGTCATATATAAAACAATAAAATCTAAAATAAATAAATTTAAACCATATGGCTGTTGTTAATAGGCCGATTTTTAAACAATATTATCACCATAAATTCGATTTAAACAAAACAAACACGAAACGTTTAATAAATATGTAGAATGTGGTAGCCCTATTGAAAATTGGGCTTTAATAATAAAGTGACAAGGATCACAGTCCCTTGAAAACGATTGTTTCATTAAAGATTTCTATGATAAAGGATTAAATGTGATCTATCTAACTAAACTGTAGACCAGTAAGTATTTCATATAACATGTCCCCTGTAATGTAAAAGGGGCAGGCTGAAATATTCTACAGAACCAGTTATGACTTGCTAATGTAAGACATTTTTTTAAAAACAGATATTTTTCTAATTATTGACCCTTTAAGATTCTTCCTTGCCTGGATATTAATATAATTCTCATTCGCAATCAAAAAACAAATTGAATTTTTAAACACTATACTGGTTTCAAGTCGGCTGCGGGACGTCACCGCGACGCTACTCTTGATTAAGAGTCCCGTCGTGACTTGAAACTAGTAGAGCATTCCTCGGTAAATTCACGTGAATTTACGTATTATTTTAAATCAATTTTATGTCTCACATAAAGAAAAAGAAAATTATTATTACTATTATTACTTTTTGTACGAACGAGACAGTCAATGAATATGTAACTCTATACTGGTCTAGCCTGTACATTTTAGCTCTACAACCACGTCCCCATATCTCGGTCTAATAAATCTAGCTATCCTTCTTGTGTCGACATCAAAGTATCAAAGACTTCAGACCCCGGCCCTATAGTCTCACTCGCCGACCCAAAATAACTGGAAAAGTTAAAAATACCTGACTCTTGTCTCACATTATCACTCGAGCCAAATTGAGCTTTATTTGCCGTATGCATAGGTGTCGCGTTTGCGCTGTAGGATTTCTTATCTAAGGCTGATAATAAGGGATTTTTTATGTCATTGGGCGGAGGCTTCGGGTCTTCTGGGTCGTATAGGGTGGCTTCTTTTGAGATGTCCTTGATCTCAGTGTAGGGGTTGGTTAAGTAATCGGCGTATAGTTCGCTTTGTTCTACCTTAGTTTCAGGTAGAACCGGGTCATTGTAACTAACGTTGATTACATGTGGGTCTGCCCGTGTGATGTCTGGCTGTGACGGGTCCAAGTAAGGGTTTTCTGGTCTGGTAGGGACTTGTGGCGTGAGGTCCGGTCGGAGGTCCATACGGATGAGGTCGGGTCTCGTCGGTGTGGGGTCAACGTTCTGCGGGTACAACATCGGCATCTGCGGCTGCATCGACATTCCTATTGGTGTTGATATCATCTGAAAGTTTACAGATTAACATATTGTACAAATTCGTAATTATTATTACCAAACTTAGACTACTACTTACACAGCTACTATGTTACTGAACTACTCACTATACCCCCCAAATTTGTATGTATTCGCGTAACAATTAGTCATTTAAAGAAACCTTTTTTTACCGTTTATTTCACCGATTTTAACATCTATTCCGTAGGCATAGTGACATCATTGAAACCATAATTTTTTTACAAAACCAACTATAATCTTCAGTTTGAAAAAAAACCATTTTTATAAAATAAAGATTTAAAAAAACTATTTCTTTAGACGATATTTTTAATTCCACTAACATAATAAAGTTCAAAATCGGTTGAATGGCGAGTAAAAAAGGTTTTCCTAAATGTGTAACGTAATTTTCAAAATGTTTAAGCGTTTATGCAGTTTAAGTCTTAGTAGTTCTTGGATAAAACAAAAAAAACAAATATATCACAAACAAATAATATACATTTCTACCTACCTCATTCAAAGGCTGCAGAAGTACTGAAGAAGTCAACCCAGTCTGGTCATACAAAGGATTCCTAATAGGAACCATACCGCTTATTGGCGTAGGAGCCACCAACGTTGGAGCATTGGCCACCAATGGTGGTGTCTGAACTAAATTCACTGGCGAATGTGCCAAGTTTTGCGCCAACATTGGTGATTGGATTTGGGGGGATTGTGGTGGGATGGGTTGGGGTGCGGATGGGATTGGTACTAAGGTGGGCGTACTGGTCTGTTGTACGGGAACGAGGGTAGGCAGGGACGGTGGTAGAGATGGCTGCATGTGACTCGGTAGGCTGGTTGGTTTCGCGTTGTCTTTTACTGTAAAAAATAAAAAGAAAATTGATACTTTGTCCGATTTGGGAACAAAACCTAGAACATGAACTTTCAATTTCAATAGTCGACATACGACCATATCGAAAATCGAATAGGAAAACGTTAAGTTTTATACTGCGATATTTATCTATCACAGTCTCTCAAACAAAATTTGCGACTCACCTTGTGGAAATAATTCTTCCTTCAAGTTGGGCAGGAATTCGTTGATCTTGTCCCAAGTAATGTACCATAAATCGTTGTAACCGTCTGCATTGCTGAATATCTGTAATTCAATATTTATAAGATTAAAGACGACGTATAAATTAAATAAATAAAAATCCAGTTAAAGACGTTTTAATATTTGCGCACAAAGATGGAACTAAAGCACTTGATCAAAAAAAAAAAGTTTGAAGTATTTCATTCATCAAACCCTAAGCGAACGTCTGCGTTCGCGCACCTGTTGTGTCCCGAATTATCACGATTGAAAGGTTAATTGGGTTATAGTGTACTAGCTACTCTCGCGCGGTTTCACCCGCTGCTCGGCTTCGTTTAATCGTAGCGTGATGTTTATAGCTTATAGCACTCAGGAACATTGTAGCTATCTATCATTGAAAGATATTTGGCAATCCGACCAGCGGTTCCAAAGATTACCCCCTACATACAAACTTACAAATTTTACCTCTTTATAATGTAGATAAGGAAATTATGTCTGTTGCGCTTTCACTTAAAAACTACTTAACATATTTAAATCAAACTTGCTACAGAGATAGATTACAATTTGGAATAACACATTGGGTAAGCCACTGGCAGAAACTAGTTGTATTTTAACATTGCCCCGCTAATATACCTTGTTAGTTGAGTTAGTATTATTATAAGTTTTTAACGTATGCTCTAACTGATCCAGTTCTAGTTTTAGAACAGTATTTATTAGACAAATTAAGTTGTTGCCATATGTCCTAAATACTGCAAACAATAACAACTATGAATATTAAAGTCAAAGTCAAAATTTATTTATTCCAACTGAACCATAAATAAGTACTTTTGAAACGTCAAAATAGAATAGCAGTCTGTTAGTTTGTTCGTAAGTAAAAAGAGGTTAAATGAATTAAAAAAATAATATGTTATTTTAATTGTAAATAAAAATAGAAATTCCGTTATAAAACTATGTTAGAGACATTATTGAGTACACTAGGATTTTGTCCTGTGTCATGGATTCGTTTACATCACATCACACGTAGACGCGGAACATCAATTTGTGGATGACACAAAGAGTTATTACATACGGGAATCAAATCCATTAAACGTCGCGCGGCAGCCTGTTGCTTAGGCACCGCGCTAACCGTGAACTTTCTATAGTAAAGTCCCAGGACCTTTTACTAAACTATTTAAAAAGTTTTTATTTAGGACTAGCGGTCCATTTCTGCTTCGCGTGGATCTCTTTTTTCACGATATAACACCCTCTATTTTGTTCTCCATAAAGACCTTCTCTTGACACTGACAGTAAAAAAGAATTGTCAAAATTTGTCCTGATGTTGTTGAGTTATGCTCTTACTAACATAAGATGTGAATAAATATTATGAATGCGAAAGTGACTCTGTCTGTCTGTCTGTCTGTCTGTCTACCTTTTGTTGCCGCCTAAACAACTGAATCTATTTTTGTGAAATTCGGTACAAACATAGTTTGTAACTCGAGAAAAGACATAGGATAGTTTTTAAACTATCAGAATATAAACATATAACAGATGGCGCCACTGCCAGTGTAAACAACAGCTCCGTGTTTTTAAAATCATTAAAATAGTTACAAGTGCATTTTCCTCTTAATACAGTGCTATTTCAATAGTTATAGTGGCAATTTATATCATCTATCGTTATCTACGAGCAGGGATTCAATAGTGTCAAGAAATATCTAGTGAAACTTTTTTCCAACCAACAGTGCATAAAGTTGTTAATAAACAATTATTTGGTGCCGAAATTGCATAAAACTTGCGTTACTACATTTAATGAGCTTAAGTGCAAAAAGTGCAAACTTATAATAAACTAAAAAAAGTTTATGTAAAAACTAAGGTGTATTTGTTGTGAGTGACAGTGGAAAAATTCAAATTCAAAAGTTGTTTACGTCCAACTGTCACATAAACTTTAACTTGTAGAAACCAAGCACCTAATTTGCATCAAATAATCAACAACGATTTGACGTGGTGGTATCGGACGTCGACTTTCAATAGAGTGAGCCGAGTTCGAATCCGACGACTCGCAAATACTTTTTGGAAGTTTTTTTTTCATAATCCTTGCGCAGAATCTGAGTATTCTAGCGCTTTTGACATCACTGGGAAGACTTTTGGAAAATTGTTTTTTTTTTATACTTTTTGTTCTTACTTTCGGTACATAATTTAAAAATGTCAAAACACTAGAGGACTGCGCAGTAACATATCTGAAGTACGGCAACACATAGCGAACAGTGACTACGATGTCTATGTCTTGACGGAGACTTGGTTGTGTGCAGGTATTTTTGATTCTGAGCTCTTCGGTGACACCTTTTCAGTGTATAGAAGGGATAGGGAAACCTCTAACTTCAGTAGCCACAAAAAGGATGGCGGTGGCGTGCTTATAGCTGTATCTAATAGATTAATCTCATCACGTATGCATGAATGGGAAAGTAACTGCGAAGATCTATGGGTTACAATCAAAACGAAATCAGCTGTAAATGGGTCCTTGAAGCTGTGTGGTGTCTATATACCCCCTCCAGTAAATTCAGATGTGTTAGAACACTTCATTGAGAACAGCAACTCAGTTATAGTACGTAATTCCAACAGCTCTACTATAATATTGGGCGACTTCAATCTGAGTGGGATTGATTGGATACACAGCACTGCTAGTGACTGGTGTTCAGCCTCTACGGGCAGTAGTGGCTATCTTAAAAATCTTTTTCTTAATTTCATATCGTTCAGCAATTTAAGACAATATAACTGGATCAAAAACTTTCAAAATAAAACCTTAGATTTAGTACTCTCCGATAATGAACAAATAAAAATTAGTAACTGCCCTGATCCAATTCGAGAATTAGATAAGTTTCATCCAGCCTTTGAAATTGCGCTGCAAATACCTGTAGAGTCCAAAAAATATTCTATGGCGATTGTTAAACCTAATTACTACAAAGCTGATTACGAAGCCATTTGTAAGGCGCTTGGGGACATTAATTGGAGCACTGAATTTCACACTTGCAACGACATCAATGATATGTTGGATATTTTTTACTCAGTCGTTAGGAAAGTCATAAAACTGTTTGTACCTGAAACTGTGTCATCTCGCGGTAAACACCCTCCATGGTACACCTTTCATTTGAAAAAATTACTAGGACAAAAGTTAAGACTCCGAAAAAGAATTCAAAAATACAATAACCCTTTGGATGTTATTGAATTTAGTTACCTGAGAAAAGACTGCAAAATACTCATGCATAAATGTTATATTAATTACATAGTCGAAATTGAAAATAAAATAAAATATTACCCTAAAATGTTTTGGACACATGTTAAAAATCTCAGGAAATCCACTAATTCTTACCCCTCGGAAATGGTACTTGGTGATACAAATGTCTCCGGTACCAAAGCCATTTCAAATCTATTTGCAAAACAATTCTCTTCGGTATATGACCCATCTAACATCTCCACCAGCAGTGTGCTTTCTTCATCAATTCCTGTCTTACCCATTAATGATTTCTCAATACTTCCCGAAACTATTACTAAGAAACTCACAGGCTTAGACTTGTCAAAGGGTGCAGGGCCTGATGATATTCCCCCAATATTTTGGTCGCGGTGTGCTCGTTTTGTGTCCTGTCCCTTAGCACATATATTTAACACCTCTCTTAAAACAGGGATATTTCCGAATACTTGGAAACGGGCGAGAATAGTGCCTATTCACAAATCTGGAAGTCGTAAGGTTGTGTCCAATTACCGACCTATTTCAATTCTCTGCACCTTGTCCAAGGTCTTTGAATCGATCGTATATCCTGTGCTGTACGATCAAGTCCAGAACTATCTTTCGCCGACCCAACATGGCTTTATAGTGAAAAGATCAACCACTACAAATCTCGTCACCTACACTACCAAATTAACCTGTGCCGTCGACCGGGGTATGCAAGTTGATGCTATATACACCGATTTTTCGAAGGCCTTCGATAAGGTAAATCACGAGCTATTACTGCATAAACTCGAGTCTTTGGGTATCACTGGTGCCACCCTGGGTTGGTGTCGGACATACCTGTCGAACAGACCATCGTCAGTTGTAGTGGATGGTGAAGAGTCGGATACCTTTTTTGCTACATCGGGTGTACCACAAGGTTCCAATTTGGGACCATTACTATTCAATGTCTTCATTAACGACATTTCTCAAATTCTTAAACATTCGACACCGTTTCTTTTTGCTGACGATTTGAAGTTAATACGCGTAATCCAAAATGATACCGACATCGACCTGTTACAGGCAGACATTAACAACCTTGTCCAATGGTGTGCGGACAATATGATGTACCTGAATAGTGGCAAATGTTACCATATCAAATTTACCCGAAAACGTAACATAATTCACTCATCATATCACGTTCAAGGAAATGTTTTAAAAGAGGTACCAGTCATTCGGGATTTGGGCATCTACATTGACAGTAGACTGAGTTTTGTAGACCACATCGACAAAATGCTTAATTCGGCCTACCGAGCACTGGGGTTCGTCCTGCGATCGTCTAAGGATTTTAAAAAACCTTCCACCACCCTTTTGCTGTTTAATAACTATGTCCGAAGTACTCTGGAGTACTGTAGTACAGTCTGGAGCCCATCATATCAAGTGCACATAAATCGGATCGAAAGAGTACAAAAAAAATTAACCCGTCATTTAGCGTTTAAGTTCAAACTTCGGAATTGTAAATCATATAAAGATAGAAGAACCCAACTAAAGCTATTAACCCTAGAATCTCGTCGTGCTATTACTGACTTACACTTTTTACAAAAAATACTTAACAATGGCGTTGACTGCCCAGACTTGCTGAACGGTATTCAGATTAGAGTCCCTTCCAGGGTCCCACGCCGCCCACAACCCTTACTTAAGGTTCCACAACACCGCACTAATCTGGGTAAACACTCTCCAATTAATAGAATGACCCATCAATATAACTGTGTTGCTAATTCTTCGGCAGACATCGACATCTTCTCTAACACTCTAAGCACTTATAAATCTTTAATTTTTAATCACTTCAATGACATAATATGTATACATGCGCAAGAATCGTAGTGTTATCTGTATAAACATAGATGTTTTATTAATTCATTGTCAAGCAATGATTTGACTTTAATATAGTTGTGCTTATTTGTAATTCCATTGTTGATTAGAATTTCATTTCTTTTTAGACTATTCTCAATTTGTTTAATGTTGACTTCATTTCATATTCATATTATTATAATTATTTTTATAATTCAGAAAACGCTTGTTATTAATATATTTTATTTTTATTTTGACAAATTTTACTATTTGATAGTCTTATGCTTTATGTTTGAAAGGATTATGCTTTGATTAGCTACTTTAAAAAAAACTTTGTTTTATATAATTTTGATCTCATTTCTTGTTATTAGACTTAATATAACGTAGTGTTAAAATTTAATTTAATACTTACATCATTTTAAATTTGTATTTGTATTCATGCTGTTACATCATATTTGCATGCTGTGGCTTCTTATAAGTGGAGAAGCACAAGAAAATATTTTGTTATGTATATTGTCTGGCATTTAAAGTGTTTTCTCTGTTGGAAGTCCAAATAAATAAATAAAAAAAAATAAAAAAAAAAAAATAAACGCGGCGTTAGATACGGCGGTGTTTGGATTTTATCACGTCTGGTGGTAAAGGATGATGGGACTTACGATGGAGCACGCCTACTCATAAGTTTATAATCTATTCCTTGTTACCAGGGCGGAGGATCTAATTTCCCTTAATATGCGAGTGTGTGGTCCCTTACCCGTACGGAGTCCATGACGAGGATCATGTTCTTGAGTGACTCGAGCGCGGCCTCGGTGAGGGGGTCGTCGGGCTCGGGCAGCAGCAGCGCGCGCGCGCGGTCGAGCACGCGCACCCACAGCGCGCCGAACGAGGCGCGCGCGCTCAGCGCTGACAGGTGCTGCAGGAACACCTGGGGGGGGGGGTTTGTAAAGCAAGCATTCGCCAATCTTCTGGTAGATTTGACCAATTTTGTTTTCTCTTATAAGTTACGTAAGTTGATTTCGTTTATTCAATCTAAGAAAGAAAAAAAACATACAAAATCATAAGTTAGCGCTATTTTGTCGAAACAAGGGATAATTGTTTTTCGAAACGTAGAAGTTTCTTTCTCGTTCCTTACCGCCCGTTTGAAGGAGTTGGAGAACTGAGAATTGGAAATTTAGATGGAAAAAACTTATTGTGGAGGACAACGAATAGTAATGCATGTTGTACTGCGGCAATACACGTACTAGTGATATTATGTTGGCACTATTTAGATTTTTGTTTTTATATTCTACGGTTGACAGTTCTGTTTAAGAAAATTAAAGCATGTATAATTTTACCTGTTGCTGTGTAGTGAATTATTCTATGTTCATTTAGTAAACTTAAAGGCACATTGTAGGTCCCAGCGCGCGCCGCCCATGCCTTGCATTGTAATGTAAGAGATGGTGGTACCTTGCACATGATGGTGTGCGCCCTGGCGGTGACGTCGGCGCGGCGCGGCAGTAGCTCGAGCAGGGGGAACAGCACGTGGTGGAAGGCGGCCTCCCAGCGCGCGCCGCCCATGCCTTGCATTGTAATGTAAGAGATGGTGGTACCTTGCACATGATGGTGTGCGCCCTGGCGGTGACGTCGGCGCGGCGCGGCAGTAGCTCGAGCAGGGGGAACAGCACGGGGTGGAAGGCGGCCTCCCAGCGCGCGCCGCCCATGCCTTGCATTGTAATGTAAGAGATGGTGGTACCTTGCACATGATGGTGTGCGCCCTGGCGGTGACGTCGGCGCGGCGCGGCAGTAGCTCGAGCAGGGGGAACAGCACGTGGTGGAAGGCGGCCTCCCAGCGCGCGCCGCCCATGCCTTGCATTGTAATGTAAGAGATGGTGGTACCTTGCACATGATGGTGTGCGCCCTGGCGGTGACGTCGGCGCGGCGCGGCAGTAGCTCGAGCAGGGGGAACAGCACGTGGTGGAAGGCGGCCTCCCAGCGCGCGCCGCCCATGCCTTGCATTGTAATGTAAGAGATGGTGGTACCTTGCACATGATGGTGTGCGCCCTGGCGGTGACGTCGGCGCGGCGCGGCAGTAGCTCGAGCAGGGGGAACAGCACGTGGTGGAAGGCGGCCTCCCAGCGCGCGCCGCCCATGCCTTGCATTGTAATGTAAGAGATGGTGGTACCTTGCACATGATGGTGTGCGCCCTGGCGGTGACGTCGGCGCGGCGCGGCAGTAGCTCGAGCAGGGGGAACAGCACGTGGTGGAAGGCGGCCTCCCAGCGCGCGCCGCCCATGCCTTGCATTGTAATGTAAGAGATGGTGGTACCTTGCACATGATGGTGTGCGCCCTGGCGGTGACGTCGGCGCGGCGCGGCAGTAGCTCGAGCAGGGGGAACAGCACGTGGTGGAAGGCGGCCTCCCAGCGCGCGCCGCCCATGCCTTGCATTGTAATGTAAGAGATGGTGGTACCTTGCACATGATGGTGTGCGCCCTGGCGGTGACGTCGGCGCGGCGCGGCAGTAGCTCGAGCAGGGGGAACACGTGGTGGAAGGCGGCGCGCGCGCCGCCCATGCCTTGAATGTAAGAGCGCACACGTCAGTAGCTCGAGCAGGGGGAACAGCACGTGGTGGAAGGCGGCCTCCCAGCGCGCGCCGCCCATGCCTTGCATTAATGTAATGTACCTTGCACATGATGGTGTGCGTGGCGGTACCGGCGCGGCGCGGCAGTAGCTCGAGCAGGGGGAACATGAAGGTGTGCGCCCTGGCGGTGACGTCGTGCGCGGCAGTATTGCCTTGCACATGATGCGCCCTGGCGGTGACGTCGGCGCGGCGCGGCAGTAGCTCGAGCAGGGGGAACAGCACGTGGTGGAAGGCGGCCTCCCAGCGCGCGCCGCCCATGCCTTGCATTGTAATGTAAGAGATGGTGGTACCTTGCACATGATGGTGTGCGCCCTGGCGGTGACGTCGGCGCGGCGCGGCAGTAGCTCGAGCAGGGGGAACAGCACGTGGTGGAAGGCGGCCTCCCAGCGCGCGCCGCCCATGCCTTGCATTGTAATGTAAGAGATGGTGGTACCTTGCACATGATGGTGTGCGCCCTGGCGGTGACGTCGGCGCGGCGCGGCAGTAGCTCGAGCAGGGGGAACAGCACGTGGTGGAAGGCGGCCTCCCAGCGCGCGCCGCCCATGCCTTGCATTGTAATGTAAGAGATGGTGGTACCTTGCACATGATGGTGTGCGCCCTGGCGGTGACGTCGGCGCGGCGCGGCAGTAGCTCGAGCAGGGGGAACAGCACGTGGTGGAAGGCGGCCTCCCAGCGCGCGCCGCCCATGCCTTGCATTGTAATGTAAGAGATGGTGGTACCTTGCACATGATGGTGTGCGCCCTGGCGGTGACGTCGGCGCGGCGCGGCAGTAGCTCGAGCAGGGGGAACAGCACGTGGTGGAAGGCGGCCTCCCAGCGCGCGCCGCCCATGCCTTGCATTGTAATGTAAGAGATGGTGGTACCTTGCACATGATGGTGTGCGCCCTGGCGGTGACGTCGGCGCGGCGCGGCAGTAGCTCGAGCAGGGGGAACAGCACGTGGTGGAAGGCGGCCTCCCAGCGCGCGCCGCCCATGCCTTGCATTGTAATGTAAGAGATGGTGGTACCTTGCACATGATGGTGTGCGCCCTGGCGGTGACGTCGGCGCGGCGCGGCAGTAGCTCGAGCAGGGGGAACAGCACGTGGTGGAAGGCGGCCTCCCAGCGCGCGCCGCCCATGCCGGCCAGTCCGGGCGCCAGCAGCGCGCGCTGCAGGTACGCCACCGCGCTGTTCGACACCTGCCCCACAAACATTACAGTTATAAACATATCTACATTTTCTCAAATACCTAAATATTAGTAAAGGAGGACTCTTCTCATAACCCCTACAGAGCATATACGAAGAATTACGGCTCTCTCTCCCTCCTGCATCTAATGTCCCTTTTTTCTATCTATATCTTCTTATTTCGCTATCCTTTTCCCCCCTCTCTCATCTCTCTCCCTCTGCTCCCGTGACTTCTTCTTTCTGCATCATCCTACGCCGGTGTGTAGCCTCTATTCTTCTCTTCATATTTTACTATCCCTCTTCTCTCTAGCAGTAATTCGCTTACTCTTTCTGTCTTCCTCACAATCTCTGTCCTATTCACTCCATTTCCTTAATCTACATATAAAAATAAGTAACTGACCTGTTTCCGCCTGTCCGTACAAAATTGTGCGATGCCTTGTAGTAATGGTTTCCACGCGACTTCCCATAAGTCATATTCTTCAGCATCTACAAAAAATACGAAATCTAAGAAATGGAAGAAAATTAAAATATACTTTAAAAACATATAATATTATGTTATAATCTATCCGTTTCGAAAATTAACTAAATGTAACCATGACATGTCTTTCTATCTAAAAGTGTATATTTAAAATAGGAATAACTTAAATCAATATTAGCTAATACTAAACAAAATTGAAATAATCTTTAATATAAAAGGACATACCAAGATAGTTAACCTCCTAATAGACAATAGAAAATTGGTGATACTAACTTTGTCCCTGGTCGGCCTCGTCTCTCCACCATTTGAATATCTGAGCGGTGCGACTGTGCAACGTGTGCATTAGGTCCAGCAACTGGGAACAAACATTACATCTCAAAATTGAACCTCGAGAATCCGGTTCGTGTAAGAATATAGTCAAAAGTTTTAAGTGTGGGAGAGCCATGCTTCGGCACGAATGGGTCGGCTCGACCGGAGTGATACCACGGCCTCACAGAAAACCGGCGTGAAACAACCACAGTGTTGTGTTTCGCCGTGTGAGTGAGGTTACCGGAGGCCCAATCCTTCCCCTTCCCAATCCCTCCCCAGTTCCTAAATCTCCAAATCCCTAATCCCTAAAAGGTCGGCAACGCACTCGTAACTCCTCCGTTGCATCATGGGCGATCCGTTTGCCGACCTATTACATAAAAAAAGTTATATCATTTATGTCAAATTGACACTTCTGAATGTCAAACAATAAAACATATATCACAAAGTTTAAAGTCTGTTTGTGTCAGTCGGTCGGTCAGTCCTTTAGTGAACCGTCGTTCATTTGTTCCAAAGTGTAGATTTCTTTGGTCAAGATCGAGTAAGAAACTTCAAGGTTACTATTTTTCAATCAGTTTCACAATATAACCTTTGTTACATTATTAATTAAGTTGGTTCCATTATACGACAACAGATCAGTGTTATGCACTGATATTTAGCCAAAGAATACTAAAAAATTACCTCAAGGACAATACATTTGTTTGGACAGTTGAGATCTTTCTTTTTATAGAAAAGGTCGGCAAACTAGCTGGCTCATTATCTGATGTTAAGTAATGGGCGCCGCCCAAGGAAACCCACAACGGAGTTACGAGCGCGTTGCCGGCCTTTTGGGGATTAGCGTTACTGATATTTATGGATTGGGGACGGATATGGGGAACGGAAGAATTGGGTCTCCGGTAACATCACGTCGAAACACAACGCTGTCGTTATTTCACGCCGATTTTCTAGCCCTGGATAATAGTATAGCCCCGAATCTGACAAGTTCCATGAGAGATATTTATTATAGCGAGAAGTTCTGTTATATTCTTACCTGTATGCTGACCATATGATACTGGTCGAGGGTATCCACCTCTTCATCAGAGGAGTCATCGTAACGTCTCCTGCCGGAGCTCGGCCGCGACTTGTGGCCTGACCTCGACTTGCCAGATTTCTTTCCTGTTCACAAAAATAATGATGAACTTTGAGACTATGATCTAGTTGTTACCGATATTGGGCATAGGGAGCATGGTCATCCAAAATGATTATGTTTGGGTCCCTATGTTGTGGGTTATGTGGGGTAAATGGATAAAAGACACACAAAACCTGGACTTATAATCAGAAATTATAAGTCCACGATGTTTTCCTTCACGGTATGTCAGTGGTGTCTAAATAATCGTAGAAAGTATACATACAACTCTGTCAAGAAAGTACCGGGCAAAAGTCAATAATACACAAAATGTTTGTTATTCATCTAAATTTATTTCATCACCTTCAAAGTATGCTCCTTCAGAAACGATACACTTACGCCAACGAATAATCCAATCATCGAAACTTTTTTTAAACGCTGTTTCCGAAATTGAGTTCAGTGCTCGCCGCGAATTCTCCTTTATGTCTTCTAACGGTAATTTGAGTGTGGGAAAAAGAAAGAAGTCGGCTGGAGCCATATCTGGTGAATATGGTGGCTACTCGATGGTGTTTGTTGAGTGTTTGGACAAAAAATCGTTTACAATGATGGCCTTGTGCGAAGGCGCATTATCATGATGCAAATCTTCTCGCCGTTAAACGTTATGTTTGGCGAGGATCTTTAATTATAAGAACAAAATGTTATAACTAAAATTGTACTTTTTGCTAAATAAATAAATAAAATAAATAAAATCCAAGAATTTTCTTTCCACATTTCTGGCCTTTTTCGTCGAATTTGTTCTCTTAAACGCCGCATAACGCTCAAATAATATTCTTTATTTACCGTTTGACCTTCGGGCAAGAATTCTGAGTGCACAACACCGTGATAGTGAAAGAAAACAGTCAACATGACTTTGACTTTTGATCGACTTTAACGTGGTTTTTTCGGTTTTGGTTCAGTTGGAAGGCGCCATTCCGAAGCTTGTTGACTAGTTTGCATGTCAAACTCGTAAACCCACGTCTCGTCACCAGTAACAATGCATTTCATGAATGTTGGGTCGGTATTGACTCGTTCTAGCATGTCCTCAGCGACTTTCATGCGATTTAGTTTTTGAAGAAAATTCAGGTCTTTTGGGACTAGCCGAGCGGCAACACGTTTCATACCCAAATTATTTGTTAAAATGGTACGGATCAACTCGTGAGATACAGAAAGTTCGGCGGCCATCTCTCTCAAACTTGAATGAGGATTTTCAGTCACTATTTCCTTCACTTTTGCGATGTTAACTTCAGTTGCAGACGTTGATGGCCTACCAGAACGAGGCAAATCTTCCATCACATCTCGACCGCTTTTGAACGCTTTGTACCACTCATAAGCACGTGTTTTTGATAAAGTCGATTCACCGTAAGCCTTCTGTAACATTTTAAGTGCCTCCGAACACGAAATTTCATTGGCCATGCAAAATTTAAGACAATCTCTTTGTTCGATGTTTTTGTCCATTATGAAATTCGCAATACACACTAGATATTATAAAACTAAAAACAGCACTGTTTTTAATATAAATAACAGATGCAACTCAAATTCCGCGCCAAAATGGAAAACAGTTATGCCGATCTAACAACAACAAAAAAAATTAAAATTCGAATTTGGAACCATAAAAAAAACATTCATTCCCGATACTTTGTTGACTGAATGTATATATAATTCGGAAAAAGTGCCAGGTTTCGAAACCTTTATAAATGAGAAGCGGATCACCACGACAAGATGCAGGGTTTAATCTTTATATATGTAATTCTACAGTATGTGTGTATGTCATTGAACTCCTCCTAAACGGCTTGACTGATTTAAATGATTTTTTCTGTACGCATTACAGGTGCGCCCCGGATAGTTTAAATTCACAAATCAGCCCGGCAGACGGAGCTGATTGTTTGAAAAAGCATAAGATTTCGGAAAAGGCCCTAACGATTTCGCTGAAATTTAATATGTGGGACAATCTAATATAATATAAGTATATTAGTATAACCTTACTAGAATTATAAATGCGAACGTTACGATTTTTGGATGTTTGTTGCTTAATCACACCAAAACGGCTGGACCGATTAGGATGAAATATGGCACAGGCATAAGATAAGCTTCAGAATAGGACATGAGCTACTTTTTATGAACATAGGAGGCGGGCGGAAGCCTAGCCTAGTATGAGGTACATGGAGGGTGTACCGGTGTGCAGCGTGGCCCTGGCGAAGATGCGCACGGCTCGCACGGCGGCGCGGCAGTTGTAGGGCGTGACGTGCGCCACGTCGCGCACCACGAGCGCTAGCGCCTCGCTGCAGCGGGACAGCGCGCTCGCGCGGTGCGCGCGCAGGGACACCTTGCCCTCCAGCTCGAACGTCTCCGACGACTCCGTCTCATTCTTCACCTGGTATGACAAATTTGAGTGGTATTTAAGAAGTTTTTAAGGATACTCGACTAATTTCGGGTCAAAAGCGGGGCTCAAAAGTTTGTCTCACTATATTTGTTACACTAGATTATTGTTAAGAAATCAACCAAGTAAGACGATTATTATTATTTGTTGCCTATATTTAATTATTAATAAAACAATTTTTTACATTCGTAAAAATATTTCAATTGAAATAAGAATCTCACCAATATCCATCCTTGTGTTTGCGGAGAATGAGACAGCTCGCTCTCGGACGAGGCGCTGGTGGGTCGGCGCTCACTTTCATCCTCCGAGCCCTCAGATCGGCTCGATGCGGCAGGACCTGTTACCGCAAATATGTATAACTCCACGAACTAAAAACTATTAGTTATAAGTCGTCCATATCAAAACTCTACGTAGTTTTTTGTTAAGATAATGTGATGAGAAAAACTGAAAATTATTAAAAAAGTAAATAAAATAGTACTTGATAAAATCCGGTCGCGGAGCAGGAAGAAATTCGTACAATGACCTCTTTACCTACTGACAGTGGTCACAAACATTTTTGTATAAAGTGCAGTTTATAATATTTGAAGGAGAAAAGAAAATACTAGCTTATTAAATAAATTATTTCTTTATTTTTAATTTTAATAAGAAAAGAGAAAGAGAACTAACAAATAACAACAAACTAAGATAACTGAGATTACTGTCCGAAAACTGAGCGATCACTAACGCATCCCGAGATGGAATGACCGATGTCGTTCATTAAAAAAATATGAATTATGTCAAGTAAGCCATGTCATGACTCAAGGCGAACCAAAAACCACAACCACAAACAAACAAAAACAGACCTTACAGTAGTAAGTAAAAGGTTCACAATCCCTGAGTGCCGCGGTCATTGGATTTGTGCGAGCGAGACGCATCATATTTACGCGAGAGTGACAGACAGAGACAGGTAATAACAGGCAATTGTACGAATTTCTTCCTGCTCCGCGACCGGACTTTAGATCATGCAAGCTAGCACTGTACATATTATTTGAGTTCTTTGACACTTTGACGTCACTGAACACATCGACGAACACGACCTAGTTTAGTTACTTATTATAATGCAATTTTATATTAATTAGTGTAATAACCGTAGCATCAATTAGCCTGACAATTATTCGAGTTTTTTCACTGCAATCCAAAATCGCCCGCCCGATATACCGGACATCTGACAACTCTGCTGAACGGCTGTTACCAACTTGCTTTTTTTTTGTTTATTTAAAAGGTCGGCGAACGAGATGACGGATTACCTGATGGTAAGCAATCAGCGCCGCCTATGGACACTCGCAACGGAGGAGTTACGAGTGGCTTGCCGACCTTTTAGGGAATAGGGATTTGGAGATTTAGGGATTTAGGAGGGATTGGGGGAGGGGAAGGATTGCTTAAAAGGAAAAGGAAAGATTGTGTTAGGAATGGTATAAACAAAGGGAGTTTATGATGGAAAGAGTTATCATAAGTAATCATAACATAGACAAGAAACTTCTGATAAAAGAAAGACAGATATTATACATAATTTGTGTTAAATGTATATAATATAGGTAATACTGACTGGCAGCCCTGGCGTCGTTGGGCCAGGCCCCGGCCCCGGCGGCACACAGTAACGCGAACACGATGTCCCACTCCTGCGCACTGTGCACGTTCTGCGCTGACGTCTTCACTATCTCGTACATGCCGCATGATATCTGTAAAGGATTTGTTGAGCTATAAGACTTATTAGGCCGGTTAGGATAAGGGATTATGGATTGTAATCTTGCAGGGGTAATTGTTTAAGTAACATCGATATTAAGGTAGACTAACACCCGGTTTCTGAAAGGCTTGTCAACGCTAAAATTAACTTATCCCCTGTTAAATCTCTTGTCAAGTCATCTAATTGGTTGTTGATAATTCAGTCAACCAATCAAAAGACTTGACAAGAGATTAAATTGATTTTAACATTGATTGGCCTTTCGGAAACCGGGTGTGAATCTTATAATTTTCTTCGATCAACAAAACTTTTGAGTGATGTAGAGAAACACAAAGATTTTAAGAACTATTTTAATGTCTATCGCATAACTTTTTTACTTGGGAAATACGTAAGAGCCTCATATTCGAAAAAGGGTACAAAATGGTGCTGAAAATTCACGATCCGTAGAGTAAACGTGGCATTAAAGAATCATGGATATTAAGGATATTTTTATATTTACAAATCGTTTATGTAACAATTTTCATTTAGAACTAAATATATGTAATATTGTAAATAAGATCTAAATACTGTAAATTATTATTCGTAATTTTATTTACTACTCTTCCTAAAACGACATATTCTTGTTATAGTTATACTTTTACTAACATTTTTATTTATCTTACCAAATTGACTCAAAGTTAGAGAATATCATATGACATTGATGACCGCTTTGCGTACAAACTTTAAACATTTCGATTACCTAAATAGAACAAATAAAATCATCCAGTCTAGACTTACGACGTCGGCCTGTTGGTAGAATAGCTTGTATGGCATGTGGAAGAGTATGGTGAGGTGTCGCAGTAGATGCGGGGCGGCGGCGTCGCAGCGCATGAGGCGCGCCGCCCCCCGCAGTAGGGCAGTCAGCGCGCGCCGCAGCGCCGGGCCCTGGCCCTGCGCCCAGCGGACCGTGCGGGACATGTGCGGACCCGCGCAGTCCCATACGCATAGGACACGGTCTCTGCACGGAATAAAACATTCATTCTTAGGGCTCAATATCTACATGAAAGAATAGGGATGATGACCAAATACATTTTTTTTTATATCATAGGTTAGCAAACGAGCCGCCCCATTAGCTGGTGAATTGTCCGTCACTGAAGATAGGTGCTCCTTACAAAATTTATACTCGTGAAGAACGAGCATGAAACTACATTGTTACTATTTAAAAACTAAAATATGTGTCAGATGATGTCTTTTAATCGTCAAACAAAAAATAAATATCAAAAAATTTGTGTGTCAGTTTGTCAGTCTCTCCTGATCTAGTGAAGCTAGTTGTTCGTTTTAAAATGTAGATTCCTATGGAGAAGAACGAACAACAAAATTCCATGATTAGTCTTTTTCAAAAGTGTTTCAAATAGAATTAAAAATATGACTAACCTGTTCTGTATTAAAGTTTGTCCGAGCAGTTCCAGGAAGAATATGGTGATGTCTTCCAGCTGAGGGTTCATCTGCAGACTGTCGGAGTCTGGGGGCGTGCCCACTGTCACCATCGCACGTATCAACTCCTGCGCATAGTCGAATTAGACAGATTGATTATTATATATGATTATAAGATCTAGGTAACAATTTTTACTTTTGTTTAGTAACATTAATAATAATTGCCAATGTTATTTTTACTAGTCAACGTAGCCTTGTTCGCCTGGGTATAAGAAATATAACGATAGTGATTCGAAGAATCATATCAATACCATCGATGCATTGTAAGTAATTTGAATGCCTTTGAACGAGCGATTCTTGTATCATACAACTATATATAACTATATTACGGCTTAATATATCTTACTGCGACATATATGCAGATGTTTGGTCATCCAGGTACTGTATTATAATTACCTGTAAGCTTTCTACTTGTAGGAACTTGGTTTCAGTTATGAGAAGTCCTGGGAAGTTGCACTTGGCCACACATTCCATGGCCGCGTCGATCAATACCTTCTCGTGTGGCGTCGGAGTTCGCATACCTGTACAGAAGAACTTAATCATTTGAGTATAATCTTAGAATTTGAAAAGACCTGAGAAATACCTAACTAAGAAAAGCTACACTATACTGCTACACTATGCTACATTCGTATACATATACTGTAAAACAAATTTTTCAACAATACAAAGATTAATGTTTTGCGCAAAAGGTAGCGCAACTTTGCGCTATCACATACCAATTATCTTTAGTAATTTATTCCATAACATTGCTTAAGGCGTTGAAATACTTTATTAAAACATTGACATAGAGTCTTTTTAATAAACAACAAAAAGCTAACAAAGAGAAAGTTAAGATTTGCGCACACAGCTTACAACTCAGCAATTAAACAATTTCTTATTTGTGAAAATGCGTTTAATTTGGTAATTTCATGACATCAAATAACATAAAGAAAACAAATAAGTACAACATCAATCTTTCTGAATAAATGACTAGAAACATTACAAAAACTAGTGTAAAAATATTTTTGGAAATTACCTGACTCTCCAAGCGCAATGTATGAATATAAACTGGATAGTAGTCCAGCTTCGGACCCGCGCGCCGCTTCCCTGATGAGGGACACGGTACCGTTCGGGGCTAAGTAATCTTCAGCTTCAATTAGGCACTAAAATTAATAGAAAAATATATAATAATGTGTTCTTATGAAAATAGCAGGTGATTTAGGGAATGAAAAGGGAAGAAAATTATAAGCGTGCGACGGAAGGACCCGTTGGTTGGTATTTTAACTAGTAGACCGACTTCACATCACACTAATAGGGCACACCTATGAATGTCTACATAGAAATAAAAACAACTGCAAATGTAATAAACTAGACAATGTACTTCAATTCAAATACCTAGGCCTAACAATAGATAAAAATTTTAACTGGAAATTTCATGTTAACGACATTTGTAATAGACTAAGATCAGTATTAAGTAAGATTTACCAATTAAAAAATGTACTGAACAAAAAGACTCTCAGATTAGTTTACTTTACTCTTGCAGATTCGTTAATAAGTTATGGCCTCCTTGTGTATGGTCGAACATTTATTACATATATTAAAGACATTAAAGATATACAAATAAGACTGATAAAGTTCCTAGTAAGTAAAAATGTTAAAGATAGTTGCAAAAAAGAGTATGATAAGTTATTTTCTATTTGTAAAATTTTACCCATAGACAAAAAAGTAGATTATTTAGTTGGTTTGCAATACTATTTTAATGACGATTATAAAATTAATGTAAAGAACAAATATAATACGCGTAGGGTTAGAGAAAAAAAACTAATATTACCAGAGATAAAAAATTATTATGGCAAGAGAACATCCGCATACTTAGTTCCTAATATATTTAATAAAATAGAGATGCTAAGAGAAGAAGGGAAAAAGTTACACAAAGGATCTCTTAAGTCAAAATTAAAAAGCTTTATATTAGATTATTAATAAGAAGTAAGAATGTTATGTTTGTGTGTGTTTTTATGTTTTGTTTGTTTGATAATTTTAATAAAAAAAACCCAAGTAATTGCACCTAGGTACTAAATTCACTATTATGTATAAATTTGTTATTGTATAAAGAGCGCCTCTCGCCATCAAACGTTAAAGTTTGGCGAGTTTAGATGATAAGGACACTTTTCTGTAACTTTACTGAATAAATTATTTAAAAAAAAAAAAAAAAATACATATAACAAAATAGCATTTTCTGTCCCCATATCTTTAAAAGTAAGCAACGTATTTTGATGCAATATTTTTATTAGACAGAGTGAAAGGTTTATATGTAGTTCGGAGTCCGGAGGCCCAATCCTTCCCTTTCCCCAATCCCTCCTCAATCCCTAAATCTCCAAATCCCTAATCCCTAAAAGGTCGGCAACGCACTCGTAACTCCTCCGTTGCGAGTGTCCATGGGCGGCGCTGATTGCTTACCATCAGGTAATCCGTCTGCTCGTTTGCCGACCTATTATTACATAAAAAAAAAAATTATGTAGTTCACAGTGGAGAAATTTAATATTAGCATTGCACTCGTCCACCAGTTTGTGGAACACACAAAGAGATGTTCCGTGCGTAATTGAAGCCGCGACACGTTGGGCGGTAGCCAGTTACCCAGCCACCCCGTCAACCTTGCAGTCAAATATTTATAACGTAATGATATACAATTATACATCTATACCAATATTATAAAGAGGTAAAATTTATAAGTTAGTAAGTATGTAGTAATCCCCCCTAATAATTATTATAAAGAGGTAAAATTTATAATTTTGTAAGTTTGTAGTAATAATAATAATCTTTGGAACTGTTGGTCGGATTGTCAATAGTCTGTCACTGATAGATAGATAGCATCAACGTTCCTGAGTGCTTTAGGCTATAAAACATCGCGTTACGATCAAATAGAGCTGAGCAGCGGGTGAAACCGCGCGAGAGTAGCTAGTGTGTTTATATATTAGAGTTTATTACCTTGGGCAGCAGTCTTCCAATGTACAAAGTCTTCACAATCTCCAGTAGGTGTCGCCACGAGTCGCGGATACAGTCGGCATGTCTCGCCGCCACTGCGCATGCGCGGCGTAGCGCTAGCTGAGCCTTGCTAGACTGACCTAGCGTTACTCCTATAACAAATATTAGGTTATTTTAAAACTAACTGCAACTTCCGGTGACGCAACTATCTACTACTAGGCCTAATAAAAACTAAAGTTACTTTTAAAAATTTGGATCTCTATAAGTAAAACACACTGAAAAACTGTACACCTAAGCTAAGCTTTTAGGAAACCAGGAGAAATTGCTCTTTATGTTAATACAGAAATTAAATATGAGCGTGTTGTCCCTAGATCCACTTTTTGACCGCCACGGGCCACGGCCAGCTAAAGGCGACAAACCAAATGTACTAAATAATCTTAATTTTACTTAAACTTAAATAGCCAATGTCAAAATATGTATTACTTGACATTGTCTATATCGCCAAATTGTACATATTTTGTGGTCTATAGCCGACCATTATGGTCAAAAGGTAAAAGCAGCTATGACCTATTGCTAAATAAAAAAATAAAAAAAACCAGTACAGAATCAAGTTTAGTTTCAAATTGCAAATATCTTTGTAGATATTTCGGGATCAGAAAAGACGGACGGTTCGTATAAGGGCCAATGTAGTTGCGGGGAAAGCGCAAAGCCTCGGCCCAGTGCAGGAGTAGAAACGGGGGGAGGATGAGTTAGTAAGAGTCTGACACTTCCGTCCGCCCCACCTTGAGCGGAAGAAGTCAGAAGAACTTACCAATAGCGATATAATTAGCGTGTTGCGGTGCTAACAATCCAGTAAACTTGCACAGCGTTAGCAGCAGAGTGTCAAGAGTGATGTTGTCAGGCGGCAATCTAGCCACAAGCGCTGCGCAGCGCTCGAGGCCGTTGAGGGCGAGGAGGGCGCCACTGTCGCGGATTCTGTTACTCTCCATCTCCTCGACGGTGGGGGGAGTTGAGCGCTCGAAAGCCGCTGAAAGCGCCGTCACCTGGGCGAAAACAGTTGGTTTAATTCATTATTACTAAGTTCAATATTTGTTTTATTACATAAAGTTCTCAAAGTTTATTAAGTATCATTTCACTATCATCACAAAAGTGGTCGTCCAAGTTTCTCAGGAAATTTCCTAATAGTATGGAATCTGACATTGTGTTTGGTGTATGGAAAAAACTTCTATAGAACACAAGATAATATACCAATAGCAACAAGAAAAATAAAAAAACCAGATTATAAAAAATTAAATAACACATCTCAAGCAATACAAATGACATAGAACTTCTAGCCTATAAGTGTCGACTGCTGAGGCGACTCAAAAGGCGGATTCGCGATTTCAAACTTATAACTAGAATTATAAGCCCAGGTGTCCTCACGATGTTTTCCTTCACCATATGTCAATGATGACTAAATAATCATATAAAGTACATATGTATAACTGGGCAAAATCATATTGGTACTTGCCAGGTTTGTGAGCCCTCATTTATTAGAAGCATTATTAAGCTTCACTATCTACTCGTATATATAGCTATCACGACGGTATAATATTTATAAGTGACAGACTATATAAACTTACAGTAGGCGGGCATGCGACAGTGAAGAGTCGCGCGTGGTGTGGATGTTGCGCGGGCGCAGCCCTATAGAGCGCCTGGGGCCCCGCCCCGCGCCGCTGGAGCACCCGCCACAGGTAGGCGTCACGCACCGCGCCCGTGCGCTCCGCCGGCATTACCATCTCTTCGTTCCTGGCGAAAAGAGTAGAGGATTTTTTTATATATATTATAGGTTATTTTAAGTGAACAATTTGAAGTTAGTTACAAACAAAAAAGACTATTATTTTGTATGTTCGTTTCCATTCCTGAAACCACAGGGTCCCGGACTTTTGGAAGGCGTACAAGGGTCCGAAACCAACTCGCAGAGGCCCTTTGAACAAATTTATTATTATTAAAATGTATTTAAAAATAAGTTTGGTACATAAAGTCCAAAACAAAATAATATCTATTAAGTTTTTATAGAATTTTATTGTTGGAACCTGAGGCACCAACTTATAATAGTTATTTTTTGGATTCAGTTTGTTTGTAACTGAATATTTAAAATGAATTACAGACTTTCTTAAGGGAAAAACTACGAACTGAGAGGGTATGTCAGTGTCCGTTCTTAATTTTTTTACTGTATAATATTGACAAAATTTCAAAAATTAACTGAAATATAAAAAGTTGATGTACCACAAAAATGGCTTCAATGAATGATTCAATTTTCGTATGTGTTTTTCGCTAGTGCTACCGCACTTACTTGATAGAATGGAACACAGCCTCCAGCATCGACTGATCAAAGTCTCCGGATCCATTGCATCCTCTGAGGTTCTTCACAAAGTCCTCCACAGTCATGGGCACGTTCAGTTTCTTCGCGTTGTGGTTGTGCTGATCCATGTTCAGCATTATCAAGGCGTACGCCAGGCGGAAGGCAGCGTCGGTGTTGGCAAACGGTTCCCCGTTCGAACTCTTTTGGATAATGAATCGTATTATTGAGGTAGCATAGTTGATTTTTATTAGAAACTAGTTTACGTTGCCATATAAGAACTATAAAGGGGTTCTAGTTGATGGATATATTTCCGCAAGTTTGCTTTAAATTCATTTCTTCAAACTCATTTCCACCCATATGTTTATATCCATAATACATGTATATACCTATTTCAGTTAGGAAATGACTATTTATATGTATTGACACACAAAAAACATCCTAAACAACTAACCAATAAGATCCATTTTCAAATAACTTACATGCCACCGCTCAGCAAAGCGTTCCATAACAAGGAAGATGAGAGGCGCTTCTCCTGGCAGTCGGAATGTCTCCAGGTACATTCTTAATGCCTGGTCTATCCTCAGTCCTGCATAGTCAAAACTGTCTGCAAAGGCTCCCAAAACTGATGGTCCACCATCTTCATCTTCGCCCCGTGACGACCGCTTGCAGATAAATTCACCTGAAGGACGGCAAATTAATATAATTTTTGGTCATATTTGATGAGATACGTTGCGCAATGATCATTTTGCGCAAACCGGTATAAAAAAATTTGCGCAACAGTTTAATTCGAATAAAAACTCACCTATCATTTTCTTATCTAAGTCCGGATTTTCTCTTAAAAACATGGCAACTTCGTGTGGGTCTAATGGAGTTGCCAACACTCCATGTTCTTGTAAAAATTCAATGCCACGCTCAGGTTTCTGATTGAAGAGTTCTGTGCCTTGCGTAACCCACTGTAAAAAGAAAATATTTTTATGAGGACCGGCCGTTAACTGCCCTGTCACTGCGTAGTGATGTAGCCTCGCTATGTGATCTTTATCACATATATCACGGGACCCGTTCTGAGGAATTGTTTGGTTTCCCGCCGCATATTTTGGCCATCGTCCCACGCGAAAGCGTTTTTATCCCCATCACAAGAGTTGGTAATCAAAAGCTGTGTGATTTACGCAAAACTTTCTACCTTGCACAGCAAAACTTAGGAATAATTTTACGGCGGCGATATTCCCGATACGACCTTCAAATCTTCAACGAACGAGCATACTTATTCTTAAAAGGCCGTCAACGCGCTGTGACTTCTCTGGTATTGCGGCCGTCCACGGGCGGCGCCGATCACTTACCATCAGGTGATCCTCCTTCTCGTGTTTTATGGCTAACAAGCAGACGGATTAATCAATAAAAAGGTTTTAATAGTTTCTTGGATAACTTACCTTCTTCATATTTTTGATATTATCTAATTCAGCTTCAGAAGGCAGATCAGAGGAGGGCTTATGTCTCCCCGTCCTTCCACAGCCGAAGTACTGACTAATATCGTGCGTCACATGGTCACTGACTACGGACACGTCATCCAACCCCCCTAGTTCCAAAGAAACGTGACCACTTCTCAAGTCCTTTTCCTTCTCCTCCTCCCCGTTGGGAGGGATTTCTGGTTCAGGCTTAACTTCTTTATGACTGCAACCCATTTCCACCGCCTCGATAATAGTCATCAAGGCTTCTAAAGACAGGGAGTGGATGTTGTATGCTGTGGAAGATACCACGTTCTTGGAGAGGAGTTTGGTCAATTCTTCAAAGACGTTCATGCAGTAAACATCGCAGTCATAGTTGAGGTATATCTCAGCGCAGAGCCCCGGTATCCTGAACATTTGTGCTAGACTCTCCAAGGCAAGATGGTGGATCTCCTTCAGCTCGTAAATAGCTTTCGTTGTGTCTGCCGATATGATTTCTATGATTTTCTTATAAAACGCTTCCATTTGGAACTTGAGGTGTGTGCGGAGAGCTTCGAATAGCAGAAAGGAGACTTGAAGGTCAAGTGCGAATATTGATATCCTTTCCGTGCTCAGCAGCTGCAAATGAGAAATTGGAGTCAGTTGATAGAAGTTACTTTTATTCTTGAGGGGCCAACTTTAATTTTAAAACATCATCATGCCAATTAATACTTTTCGCGGCCTGGAAATCGGACCCAAAGAACCTTTTAGCGGGTAGTCGGCTCATCAGCGTTCATAGAAGTTCTATATTAAAGGCCAATCTTATATAGGGATTTTGCAAATACAATTGAAAGATAAACAGAACAACATTCGCATGCTTGAATCTACAAATTTATTTGAAGCAGTAACGTCAATATAAATGTTAGGTGACGCAAAGGCTTCATTTTCTTATCCTTCTTCATGATCCCACGACGAATGCGCAGATACAGACTAAGCCACACTCACGTAGGGACGTGGAGTGTGACCGTCCGCCTGTCCAGTAGACGTATCGGGGGTCCAGGACGACCTGGACTCGCGAGCCGTCAACTGGGCAGCTGCTGGGTGAGGCGGCAGAAATAAGTACCTACATTTCTTCCTCAATCAACATTACCGTTACAAATAAAAAACAATACATTTCACATATACCAATAGAATAGCAAAATTCCAAAACGTTCTTGTATCTTGATGCCCAGATAAATGTTGAGTTAGCAATACCAGACTATTCCACACCCCACGTAAGGCGTGGAGTGTGACCGTCTGTCTGCCCAGTAGACGTATCGGGGGTCCAGGACGACCTGGACTCGCGAGCCGTCGACTGGGCAGTTGCTTTATCTTCTTCGTTGGACGCGTCTTGATGGTACTCGTTGAAAAAGCATTTAACTAGTCTCTATAATTCGAATGTTTGGAGTCATTCAAATTGTAGGGTCCAGTCAAAGCTTAAGGCTGCTAATGAAATGTCTAAAAAATAATTAGTTTATTCATATAATCGTACAACAATCAATAGCACATAATAATGTCGGTTTTGCTATAGCTACACTCACACTTAACACTATAATTGTGCTATTTGCAATTAGATGAGGAACTCGACTGGTTTCAAGGTATGTTAGGGGCTTATATTTATGAGCAATATTGCGAGCAATATTGCGCAACCCACGACTTGGCAAACATGGCATGAAGAAAGAAGAAACTAGTTGACTTCCTCATCAAACAGATACGAGGGTCAGTCGATAAAAACAATATAAAAAACCCACGTAAAGTTATAATACGAAAATGAAAACATTTCACAAAATCTGTGCCTGCCTCATTAGTTTAACGTCGACAACTAGAGCTGCGCAATGACTCAACTAAGAAAACAGAAACATCACAGGAACACACATTATGGGCAAGTTCTACTAAATAAATACATATTTCGATGAGTTAGCAGTATAGCAGTACCAGACAAACTCACTAAGTCGTTAAGTGCAGTGGTCTGTCTACCCAGTAGACGTATCGGGGGTCCAGGAAGACCTGGACTCGCGAGCCGTCGACTGGGCAGCTGCTTTATCTTCTTTGTAAAATGCTGGCCTCGTCCGGACGACACTCGTTGTTATTGCGTTCAACTAGACTCTACAATTCGAATGGTTGGAGTCATTCGAATTGTATGGTCCAGGCAAAGCGGCTTCTTTCTCTTCTTTAATATTCCGGAATAAAATAAGCTATAACTTATTTAGGTAACAGGATCTTGATGTGTACACGACGAAATATAAATCAAACTTGTCCTGGCCATTTTCTGGTATTGGCCAAATACCAGGAAAAGGCGAGGACAAATCTAATTCCCACATTACTTCCATCTTCTCTTGTGATGAATTCCAGGACCTAGGCGATCAAATTGGTAAAAATAATCAAAAAATACACATAAAAGCCATAATATTCTTCTTCTAAAGATGAAGAACCGTAGATCCCACGATGAATGAGCAGATACAGACTAAGCCACACTCACGTAGGGCAAGGAGTGTGACCGTCTGCCTGTCCAGTAGACGTATCGGGGGTCCAGGACGACCTGGACTCGCGAGCCGTCGACTGGGCAGCTGCTGGGTGGCCCTTAGATGGCTGGTATCAACATTAAAGGACTCGCGAGCTGTCACAAGATCACCTAGTGCATTAACAATACCAAGTTCAGAAACAAAATAAAACATTTTAGTTAGAAGCTGAAATGTGTGTTGAAGAATTGATTAAATACAACGTAACGTTACACAGCATAATTCATTAGAGTTACTAAATATCTACAACAATTCAAGATATGCTGTATGGCGTCCCAACGTGCCCATTTCATAAACATTTATAGAAATTTTACTAATAGAAATTTAGTCACAAAAAGTATTATATTTAATTAGTTAGAAACTAGCCTATTATTATTATTAATAACACTGATATGATACGAATAAGGACCGAATGGCGACAGCTGGCACCTGTATAAGCTACTTGTACCTGTGTAATTCAGGAATTTTGCAGAGGAGAGGGTAGATGTCCAGATCCTCACCCCTCACAGGACGCGGCTGATGTCAACAGTTACATCATGTGAGGGATGGGGACCTAGCACCAAATGTTCCCGTTATATAAGGCTGGAAAATAATTAAGAAGACACACACTAGAAAGACAGAAATAATTCATCTATTAAATTTACATTGGACTGTGTTAGATAGCTCACCTTTTTGTTGAATAAGTGACTCTTTTTTTAGTTTCCTTGTCTTATACATATATTTGTTGAAATAATAACGCATCTCTATTTAAAAGACCTAATTATTAACAACCACATATCATTCGCAAACAAGACAACAATAAGTCGACAATCAACTTCAAAAGTTAACAATAAATTTAAAATGATTGTGTGTACCACATTCTAACAAGTTTATACACACACATAAGACGCATTATTAGTAACACACAATAGACCAAAAGACCTTCAAAAGACAATACTTACACTTAAAAGGTTTCTGCAGAGCGGGTCTTTGACTAGGTACAGCAAAGATGGGTATTTTGCGAGCTGGTCTGCCGACACTTCAAGAGCTGTTCCAACGAGGGAAAGACCAAGGTGTACCATGCCTGACGTGTTCTGACTGTCCAGGGGATTGCAGAGCGAGATCAGGAACCTGTGGATAAATGCTGATGTTAGAAAGGTGGTTGCTAAGGCAACGACTGACTTTGGGGCAGTTCTTCCATTTTAAAATTATATTAAAGCAATAATTTTGATATTCGGAATCTCAGTAAGGTGCTGGTAGGAGTCTTGACCGTACTTCCGGGATTGCTTTGATAGCCGTGGGATGGCTCTCCTTCCCGAAGCAGCTCAACGTATGTTGCCCCCGTGTCGCTACTTACAACTTGTACTTGTTTATCCGTATGTATCAATATTGGTCAGGGGCAGGGGCTTATAGTATTTCCATAGTTTTCATCAACTAGTATATAGCAACCCATACCCATAATCCTATCAATTTTTACCACATTTCACAATAGTCCTGCATCAACCGGGGATTGTCCTTGGGTGCACTTTTATAGTGCATACAGGGATAATTGCCATCACATTTATATTAAAACTGTTCAACGGGCCTCTGCGAGTTGGCTTCGGCTCCTCATAAGCCTTCCAAAGGTCTGGGATCCTGTGATCCCGTGAAAGGAAACGAACAAACTAGCATCTGCCACGCGGTTTGGCTACTATTAGTAATTCCTCGATTAATGGACCATCCAACACAAAAGTTCCAAAGTTAAGCGCAATTAAACTAACGTCTTTAGCTAGTAGAATAAAATAATCACCATTTCTGGTGAGTCGAGCAAAGTATTATTGTGTCTTCTATTACAGAGACTTAATAATAATTCCCAGCATAGAACGATACTTCTGATGAAAATTGAGTTACAAACCTGAACAGCTCTCTAACGCAGACCAGTCCATAAGGTTGAAGGTTGGCGTCGTCCTGTGGAGTGAACCTGATGCCGCGGTGGTTCACGTACTCTCCTGGTTTCTCCCCACTATCCTCCACTGGACCTTCAGGGGCCACAGGCTCTATAGTCTCAATGCCATCTGGTTCAGGATTTGTGACTTCGGTACCTGTGATATAATAGTTGATATTAAACCCTCGAAACGCCCGCAACGCACTCGTAACTTGTTTGGTGTGCTCTCAATTCGGGTGTCCATGAGCGGCCGTTTTTTTTCAAATCGGTCAAACAGCTTCAGTCCCTATTGAATTCAAACAAACAGGCAATCAAATCTTTTCTTTTGTTATATTATTATTAGAATTGAAGCATAGATAACATTACTTTGGCTTTGTGCGCCTCTTACTTATTACTTATCTATACTAGTCTATACCAGTGCGAAAAAGTAACTCTGTCTGTCAATCTGTCTTTTCTTCACGCCTAAACTACTGATCCGAATTCTGTGAAATTCAGGCAAAACCTAGTATTTAATAGTACATTATGGTACCAGTTTTGTATTGTAGGTGATTAACGCTGAGGCGCATTAAGGAGCGCGGTCTTAAGGAGCCGAAGGCGGCCATATAAAAAATTATGTTTCTTTTTGAGCTTTTAACTTAACCAATTATTTTAAAAAAGAACTCTATTACTCACTAGTGAATAATAGTAATGAAAAGACACAGTTTGATAATAGGTGTCATTTTGTGCATAATCGCCGTGGTATAAGAGCCACTTTATGAAGAAGTTTCTTGAAAAATATATTTTCTCCTTCTAAAGTAGTCTAGTAAAAACCTAAACGAAAAACCATCTTCAGTAATCAGCACTAACCTTTCTCCGTCTCCTGTACATCCTCGCTACTGTCTCCAGCTTCCTTCTCATCAGCAGTGTCGGGGCTGACGCATTTCTCCAGCAGCTGCGTGATGGACGTGTTGCCGTTGGCCGCCAGGTCCATTGACGAGTGCCTGCCATGCTTCTTCACTGGACTCTTCACGTCAACTGGTTCTATCGTGATCTCCGCTTCGTTTATCAGGTGTTTGTCTTGGCTGGACAGAAAAAAGAGTTGAGTGGTTTAATGAGGCTCTTGAACTAGAATAGGGCAGTTTCCAACCAGACAAATATAGTAGTTTCCAACTGTTTTTTATGGAATAAGTCGGCAAACGAGCAGACGGATTACCTGATGGTAGCAATCGGCGCCGCCCATGGACACCCGCAACACCAAAGGAGTTACGAGTGCGTTGCCGGCCTTTTGGGGATAAGGGTTGCGGATATAAGGATTGGGAAGGAATAGGGAAAGGATTGCGCCTCCAGTAACCTCACACAAAAACACACACCTAACATTTTTTTTTTATAAAAAGTATTTCAAGAAATTACTGAATACCTTGACCCAGACGTGCAACTTTGATTAAAACCGCTTATCTAATAATAATCCAGAAAAGAACTTAAATAAGTATTTTGTCGCGTTTATGGTATGCTATTTGATGTAAAAAAATTAAACTTAACATGTCACAATACCCTTTTCCTTATAAAAACCATAGTCAACTGACGATTTTCTTGATTACAAAAAAGTATTTAATTTGACTAGTTCGCAAATGGCCCGATTTCAATAAGTTGCTCTAAGATTACTCTACCCACTCTCTTTAAAAAATAATAGATGTGATGTGCATAAAGAATATGTAGAAAGTGCTTACCTATGTCTGATGTCAGTTTTGCTCGCATCAGTCTCTGCTTCAAGCTCAGTGGTCGTTGTAATAGGCTGCTCGCTCAGTGACGATTTTCTTTCCAAAGAATTTGAGCCTACACAAAACAATAAAAAAAAACATTTTTACGTGAACATATATTGACACGTGTTCGTTCTTTAATATTGAAATTAAAAAGGTAAACTAGAGAATATCCAGATTCCATTCTTTGTCTAAAATATTTAAAAAAATTCTTCTTCCAGCACAATTTTTACCAGAAAAATGCGTTAAAATATAAAAAAATATATTAAACAAAAATCTTATTCAATAAAAAATAACAATTATGAAATAAAAATATTAAATCAGCAAGATAGAAAAACTACCACTGCGCTCGATAGATGGCGTTGTTCCATTCGTGACGAATCCTGAATCGCGCTATGGTTTCGTTACACGCGTTTGTACTAGTATCGGCCGCGCGGCGACTCGGACAAAAAAGGGTGTTTGCCGCTTAGATGGCACATGCGTCGCAAGGCGCGTGGGGTATGGCTATCAAGACATACCCAACACGTAATTTTTGTATGTGAGAGGCAGTTGGTACCCTTCAAGTACCGGCGCCTCTTCTAATAATTAATTAAATTCTCAGATCGACGTAACCATAACCTCTCAACAATAAAATTAATTAAACCATCAAACATTTCCGTTAGTTGATAATGGTTTGGCTAGACTTCATTTAAGCGAAGATTTTGTAATTAGGAATGTTGCATTTTTTCTTGTATTTTCTTTGCCGTTCGGGTAATACTTTTTTAAACATCCGAATAACAACCGACTTCATTAATTTTGGTGTTTTTTTATTCAGACTTTTATCGCCACTATGTAATATGTTCCACCTGATGACATCATCATGATAAATAAAAATCGCTTTATCGTTTTCTATTTGAAGGCCGCCGGTTAAGGACGATTGAGCCGCAAATAGAATATGAAATGACACTTCGATTAAAATAAATGTTGACGTTCTGATAGTGGAGATAGGTGTGTTTTTTTTTAAGTAGGACAATCATCAAATGATTTCTCTTGCTCTGGGTGGGGGCGAGGGAAAGTCTCAGCCTCTTGTTGACTAAAAATAGCCATTTACATCTCCTGGTCCTGGCCATTCCTAAGGTTTACAACATACGGGCACAAATCTTTGACTAGATAGTACTAAAAGTCGTGTGAAGCGCCAACGCCATCTAGTTTTATTTTCGAAAACTAAAACGGAATCGTGTCAGGCAATTTTTCTGGCTGGTGTACCAAATCTAAACGAGAAAAAAACTATTGGTAAAGGTTTTTTTCTTGATCATACATACAAAATATTCTTGTAAATATGGGACTAATAGGCACTGCCTGAGGTCGTGATGGCCCTGAGGTTAAGGAGCCCGCTTCTCACGCATGATGGGTGTTGGTTCGAAACCTGGCAAGTACAAATGTGACTTTTTCCGAAGTTATACGTACTTTCTATGATTATTTAGACACCACTGACATACGGTGAAGGTAAACATCGTGAGGAAACCTGGACTTATAATTTCTAAATTATAAGTTTGAAATCACCAACCCGCATTGAGCAAGCGTGGGTGATTAAAGCTCAAAACTTCTCTGTGTGAGAAGATGCCTTTGCTCAGCAGTGGGCACTTATAGGCTGGATGATGAGGCACTGCCTACCGGTACTTATCAGCCTGGTATGCCAAGTAGGTGCTTAACCATTTTGTAAGTCAAGTTAGAAGTATTGGTACTAACTTCGAGGCAAGTTCGATTTTTATATTCTAACAAAAAACTTAGAATACTCAAAAACGCAATGACACCTTCGCCGAATTGCAAGCACTGACATTTTACTATCTGACGCATTGTACTACAAAGTTACTATACTCGGACTTTTAATTCCATTCCAGATTTGACAATTTCAGTGTTGCAACGTTATTACACGTATTAAATAGTGACGTTGCGAAATTATTCGATGTGGAAATCGAATATTTCTTAATCGATTCCTATCGTTTATAAATTTAATCTCGTAAACTAAGTTTATCAGGAAATAAAATATTTCTGATCCGATAATTTAGTTTTGACAATTAATTAACGATCTGAGATTTTTCTTTTGTAATTGTGTGTGAAATAAATAAAAACTGTGATCATGAAGGAACATGACAAATAAAACAGAAATTTTATAAATTGTCGCCGTCATCGCTATCGCTATCGCTGTTACTTTCTGTAACATTTATTATAAATTGTGTCTGTGATTTTTATTGTCAATTAACATATCTAGCTTACTCATTTTTTCCCCTATTTTGACAACATGGGATACGCATTTAGACCATTCGGTAGCCGTAATTTTTTGAATGCCTTCCTGAAACTGATTCACTGATTGTTTATCGATTTTTGTGTTCATCACTACACTGTTATATGTGGTATCATTATTTCACAAAATGACAATAGGTCATGTCAAATCAGGAATCGAATTAAAATTCTGACTATATATTATCTTTAATTCCATTTAGCTTTCATTCTGTCCGAGTAGATTTGAGATCGCTTAATTGACAACAAATAGTACTGTTCGCAACGAAGGATCGAAACCAGAAACGCGTATCAGAACTATTCTCTTCACGCCCCAGCCGCCGCAGGAGACACTCCGGGAGCCGGGGAATGGGCAACAATCTCCGCCGTAAGCGCAGTCGGCAAAAAAGGGTAACCTGCCGCCCAGTCAGGACTAAACCCAGGCCATCGCGTTCGCACACGCACGCCTCAAAGAACCCTGAGAGATGGGGCCCAAGTCAATATGCAGCAGGGGTTTCCGTTGTATGAGCATAATGTACCGCGGCCCCGGCCCGAAAGAACTGAAGAAAGGAGAAGGTACTGGATGGTTTTTAGTCAGTAAGAGTCTGACACTCCCTCTTGTTCCACGCTCTTATTCCAGTCGAGAAAGCCCATTCATTTAATTTATTGCCTTCAGTTAGCAACGTTATCAAATGACTTCTTGCACCCCATGTGGAGCGAACGAGAGGCTGGTCGTACACGCATTGTACCGCGCAGGTTCAACGAACAGAACTAAAATGGCCGCCGCTCGACCTAATATGGCAGAATGCCACACCCTACTTCTGTAAATGGGGGTTCGATGGGGTAAGTAGGCACCATTTTGTAAGCGTGGTAAAACCATTGTGTTTAGTCGTAGGTGTGTTTAGAACTTAGAAACTTACATACACACTACACCAAGAAACGAAACAACATTTTGTATATCACACATATAGTTGGTCTGACTATACATAATCATAAAAAAATGAAAGGTCGGTACACCACCACACCCTTCCCCATCCAAAATTTCCAAAATCCCAATCCCCAAAAGTAGCTCCTCAGATATTGCGGCTGCCCATGGGCGACGCCCATTGCTTATCTATTACCTTCGGGTAATGCGTCTGCTCTTTTGTCGACCTACCCCATAAAAAGAAAAGTTCCCTTTGTTACCCCTTCATCCCTCTGGTACTGCACATTTAGGAGACTCAAAAGTAAAGAATCAACCGAAACACCAAACTATGGGTACAAAAAAAATCCAAATATATAGTTATACGTTAACTCAAAGCGCCATAACGGTACCGTTCAACTTTCAATGATTATCGAAGCAGTCTTGCTCTGCATATTAGGAGTACATCATTAGCACTATAATGTAACACTATGTCAATCTTAAAATCTTAGATCTTCTTCATTAGAATAAAATTGAATGAAACAACCCGTTGTGTCGCCATGTGAGGGGGTAACCCAAGGCCCAATCTTTCTTCATCCCCCCCTCGCTCCTCAATCCCAAAATTTCCAATACCCCAATCCCCAAAAGTAGCTCCTCTGATATTGCGGCTGTCCATGGGCGGCGCTAATTGCTCACCCATCAAGTAATTTTCCTGCTTCGTCGCAATCCCCTCAGTTCCCCTATCCCACCCCCTAGCTACATGATAGGTGGGGTCGCACCGCCATTTTGTAAGCGTGATTCAGCCATGTTACACAGTTCGTTGCACCTGCGCGTTGCAATGCGCGTAGGATCAGGGGCCCCCAATACCCATCCCCATACAACTGAAGGGGGTGGGGATCTTCATCTCATTATATTGCATCAAACATTTCTTACTCTGAAAGGCCTACATTACATTAAAATCGCCATGGAAACCCACAAGAGACAGGACTTCTACCACACCATACCACACCCATATACCTACATATATAAAAATAATTAATAAAAAAGAATACTTTCCATATACATACATAGATAAATAATTAATAAAGAGAAATACTTACTGTTCACACTAGTCAAACTCTTCTTCTTGCTCGTCTTCTCTCTCTTCTTGAGGGATAGACCGACGGTGGCGAAGCTGGCGGACCCCGTGTCTTCTGCCGGAAACTGGGGCAGCCTCATGAAGATCAACTGTGTCATATCTCGAAGACATTGTTCCGCGTTTCGACGTAGCAGCTCTACAAAGAAAATTATTCTTTTCAATATCTTCCACGAATTCGCGTCCGTCTCGACTGACGCCCGAAACCGTTCTGATGTCCCACGCCCCAGCTTCGGTACGCGGAACTTTAATAAAAGCTGCGTACGAATCTGCGCAGACGGCCAAATATTGTGGGAAGCCGTAGGCCGATCGATTCGGCGACGGCGTCGGCTCCCCCTCCACACCCCGTACCCCCGTTGCTAGCCTAAAAATATATAAGGAAATTTCCGTGGGGAAGAATTTCAAAACCTCCGACTACTTGGAACAGAGGTACCCAGCTACTTTCCACTCCGCGCCACGTGGATGAGAAACGCCTTTGTTCAAGCGACCTCATTTTCTCCCTTACCCAAGTCAAGTTTCTAAGCTTTGCTACCGAAATTGCTATAAGTACCTATCATTGCTCATAACGTTTGCATAAAAAGCTTAAAACTTAACAGCCCTAAGGACTGGACACCATCTGCTAACATAGAAATCTGAGACCCATTTCGAAAACATCACCAAATCGGCAAGAAAGAAGCTCAGCTTTTAAGTATCTAACTAACAACTTCGCAGCGGGCAATCGCAAACAATCGATCGGTAAGCAACTCTTTGTCTAATATTATATTCTATAATAACGTACTTACAAGTAAAAGGCATGAAACAGCTATACGAATCGCGGTGGAGAAGAATATGTAATCAATTTCTTTGTTGCAGAGAGAGACTTCATAAACGACGATACCAACGTGGAGCGTCCGGCGAGAGCTCTCGGTACACTGAAGTACTGAGCCCCCGCAGCGCAATATTCGACCTCCCCCGACTTCCCGGCCAGCCCACATCAAATACTTTAGAACTCCTACCTGTATATCTAGTACTTGCATCGAAATATTGATTTATGAGCAGTTACAGCGCAGATGCAATGTTGATAGATAGAGAGCGCAACAGGCTCTATTTAGGGCGTAGGCACGGAGGGAACAACGCACCAATCGGATCTCTCGACGTTCCAGAATGTTCGTGGACTAAGTTCCCTCACACCAACCTCCATCCACTCCCAGTTAAGTTCGCATAAAGTCGGGAGCGCTCGGAAAATGCATTTTCCCCTGCGACTGTCTGGGTCCTAAATGGAATGTATCGATTGCTCGTGTGACCCCGGTGACATTTAAATTATTTAATCTCAACTTTACATTCAAAGAAAATTGCTTATTAAGAGGTATATCAGGTGTGAAAATGACCTGCTTACCAAATCCAAAGAGCATGTTAGACCTAATAAGTTTTCAACAAAGACAAAACCCAACAAAAAAAATTGTGTAAAGGTATAACAGTATCTACATATTATAACCACGGGGCATAAGTATTGGTACCTCTATTTACCCCTCCCGACAAACGAGGCCTTTATACTATATCAAAGCCCCTTCGTTTGCCCGCTATAATTCCAGCTAGTTAACAATCAAAACATCTCAAGAGGTAAATACCAACAATCCATATGTAATTGCCCACCCGGCTTGTTTTTGTTATCTTCAATTACGACGACGAGTTTTCCTGTTACTCCAAATATTCCTCATTAAAAGTAATCTGTATTGATTCGTCTTTTTCCGTAATGTCGATACACGCTGTATTTTTAAAGGCGATAACACACGTCGTAAAATAACAAGGAACTTTGTTGATAAAGCGATCTTTCTATAAAAACCTTCTACAAAACGAATTTCTTCCATCAAAATATAATCTCAAGTTCCAGATATTGAGTTATAAATAAACCTAAGACAAAATCAATCGAAACAATCTAAAAATAAACTAGATAAGGACTTGTCAGACGGTCAGACATTTACGGGAATAATAAACCTTATGTCTAGAATAACTAAGGGTGAGATTACTGTACCTGTGAGGCGAGTCTCGAAACATATGCGAAAACAACTGAGCATAATTTCGCAGACGCTTTCGTCCGTCAACATGGCGCCTTCCGGGCTCAACATTAGTGTGCGTAAGACCTGGGGACAAAAGGCTCAATTAAGAACTTAACGAATAATCAGAGGTTATTTTCCTTAGGGCTGATTTATCAATAGGCAGATAAATGTTATTCGAGGAATAAAACTGTTGTTGTCACTGTCTTATACAAACATTCTGACGCGACAGCATCATAATTATTCCCCATATCTAACCATTGAAAAATCTGCTCTTAAAGGGATAACAGAGAACTTCTAAGTCAAGGGCGTAAGCCATTTATTTCATTTAATTATTCAAACGATAATGAAAAAAGGGTTTTTGAAAGCTAAAAGTATACACAGTGTTTGTCTGTTGGTTAATAGTCAACGAAATTTTGTTATTCTGAAATCTGTTTTTGTCATTCGATATGGATATGGTTTCTAACAAGAACTGGGATCAATCTAGAAATTTTGACTTAAGATCAGAGGAGATAAAACAGCTAGATCAATTAATAGTTTTATTCGGTGTTAATTTACATCTCATGTACGCTCGCATCGCTTTGTTACGGTCTCAACCATTTTTCGATTTAGGGCCTGTTCCACGTCTGAATAGCCGCTATGTACCAGATATTTGTATGAACTATGAAATGTGCCACATGAGGTTATTGGGTACTTATATGAATGACAGCTAGACACCGAAAACTATACATAAAGAAAAACGCAAAATTATTTTGGTTTGCAATAAAGTAATCGCCAAAACTGAATAGTAAGTTGCCTGTTGTTTTCACCACCCTGTAATTGGCGCCCAACAGGGGCCTTAACTGATAGTGGGGCCGGTTTGGCATTAGTATCAGATTGACTTATTTAGCCATCATGTGTCGGAGACGTTTATTTTACTTCGTTGGTAATTAGTTAACCGTTGCTACTACCGTTACAACGTTGGTAAATAGTTAAAAAAAAAAGTAACCTACGTACACAAACGTGAATTATTAAAGTAACGCCTAAAGCCTTAATAAAAATGATGTAGCGCTTGACAAATCAGAGATCAAGATGATCTCCGGCACCGTAAGCGCGACTCTGCGGACGGCGAGTAAGGTTAACTCGCCGCCCGACCAGAACCAGACCCGAGCGTACGGCGCGTAGCGTTCCAGGCGCGCCTAACAGCCAATAGACCACTACAGACGGGGCCCTACAGGGCTGATCTTAGCGGGAGTTGCGTGGTAAGCACAATGAGGCACCGCGACCTCGGCCTAGAGAAGAAACGGGGGGTTTTAGTCAGTAAGAGTCTGACAGTACCTCCCGCCCGACCCTAGACGGGAGAAATCATTTGATGAGTTTCCTCTCACAAAAGCACACGTTTGTTAGCAATCACACTTGTCAAACAGTTAAAAAAACTATGCCAATTATAGATACATAACAACTTATTGTAACATCTGCATAATATGATGTAATAAGGCTCCAAAGTTCTGGGGTTCCTTACACAAGTGGTAAAATCGAGAACTAACTAAGATTTCGCTGTCCGTCAGTCTATCTGTCTGTTTCTTTATCTAGAGAACCGTAATAGCTGGACAATTGAAATTTAAACAAATGAGGTATTTTTGCTTCCACTATAATAAAAAAAAGTGTGTCACAAGTGTGGGAGAGCCATGCTTCGGCACGAATGGGTCGGCTCGACCGGAGTGATACCACGGCCTCACAGAATACCGGCGTGAAACAACCCACAGCGTTGTGTTTCGCCGTGTGAGTGAGGTTACCGGAGGCCCAATCCCTCCCCCTTCGCTATCCCTTCCCGATCCTTATATCCCCAACCCCTATCCCCAAAAGGCTGGCAACGCACTTGTAACTCCTTTGGGGTTGCGGGTGTCCATGGGCGGCGCCGATTGCTTACCATCAGGTAACCCGTCTGCTCGTTTGCCGACTTATACCATAAAAAAAAAGTAAAAATAAAGCTGCCACAAGTCTCATACAAAAAACGTAATTTTTATACGAATACTCGCGTGCCCAAGTTTGATTTGGTCGGTTTTTAATTACCATTACAGCAACGGGGCACACCGTAAATAATTGCCTCGATTTTATAACTCTGTCAAATATTCAACATTACCTTTATCACGATTAGTTTTTGCCTGCGGGTTGACTTTATCAAAATACTAAACCCGGTTCAGCGTTTATGTCCACTTAAAATATTCCTTAAAAACTTCCTCCGTTTAGGTCAGGAAGTCTCTATAGTGATAACTTTTTTTTATTTGAAGGGGAGGGTATCATTTATTTATTTCTGGCAGACTGAAAACCTCCCGGTTCCTTCTCGTGCTTCGAGCAAGATCAGACTACCCACAACGAATACGATTCACGGCTGTTTAAGACTGATTGGCAAACGAGCAGACGGATTACCTGATGGTAAGTAACCAGCGCCGCCCATGGACACCCGGAACGGAGGAGTTACGAGTGCGTTGCCGACCTTATAGGGATAAGGGATTTGCAGATTTAGGGATTGAGGAGGGATTAGGCCTCTGGTAACCTCACTCACACGGCGAAACACAACGCTGTAGTTGTTTCACGCCGGTTTTATGTGAGGCTGTGGTATCACTCCGGTCGAGCCGACCTATTCGTGCCGAAGCATGGCTCTCCCACACTTGTATTATCGCCATAACTGACGAAAATTCTACTCTGGTGATCTAATTGTAAGAATATGACATTTTGTAAAGTTATAAGTCACTTTGTAGATTTTTTACTACTACCCTGCTCTTCCCGTGGTTGTTGTAAATGCTGACTAAGTGAGTTCTAAGTATGCTGCTGGTGACAAAGGACGACTTCATTAGTTGACTGCACGGTTGGCGCGGTGGCTGGACAACGTGTCGCGGGTTATAATCCCGCACGGAACAACTCTTTGTGTGATCCACAAATTGTTATTTCGGGTCTGGGTGTGTGTACATATAGGTATATCAAATTGTATCTTTCTATAATCTGTCGTTTGTAAACGCACCCACGACACAGGAAAAAGTCCTAATGTAGAGCAATGTTTTTTTTAAAACAAAAATGTCAATTGCTAATTAACCAATTAACGTCTCAGTGGCCGAGAGGTTAAAGATCCCGCTTAACATGCCTGAGTTTGCGAGCTCGAAACCTAGCGATTATTAATGTGACTTTTTGTAAGCTATACACACATTAAGCTTAATGAGGAAACCACCACACTATTTTAAGATTCTCAAAGAGGATTGGTAATTTTAAACTTGTTATTAAAAATTATAAGTCCAGGTTTCCTCCCAAAGCTCGCCGCCCGACCAGAACCAGACCCGAGCGTACGGCGCGTAGTGTTCCGCGCGCGCCTCAAAAAGCCAATAGACCACCACAGACGGGGCCCCATAGGGCTAATGTTCAGTCGGGGTTGCGGGGTAAGCGCAATGAGGCACCGCGACCTCGGCCCAGAGCAGGAGAAGGAACAGGAGGGTTTTTAGTCAGTAAGAGTCTGACACTCCCTCCCGCCCGACCCTGGGCAGGAGAAGTCATTTAATGATTTTACCCTCAAAAAAAGGTTTCCTCCCAACATTATCTTTCATTGTTTGTCAGTGGTGAATACGCTAAGAAAATCCATATAACTTTAAAATAATCACATTGGTAGATACTTGCCGGGCTTCAAGCCAGCTTTCATGCAAGAGAATCAAGAACCTAACCTACACTACGACCTTGATTATTGAACTTACTTGCAAGATCTTCATCAGCACAACGCCGTCTGAAGAATGGTCGGTGCCGACGAAACGAGCGTGGGTAACCGCATCTGCTATATCTTCTACCGTCGCAGGCACACTCGGATGTGTTGGGTCTACGACAAAAAGAAACGCATTTGAAAAATGTGGATAAATTACGCAACGGATTTTAAAATCTTTTTTTTAATAGATAGAGTGTTTGAAGCTGAAAGTTTATATGTACAGGATGTAAAAAGACACTTAACGAAGCCGAAAGCCACGTATTCTACCCATTATTTGGATCATTTTTTTCTTTAAGACCATAGCTGGGACTCCACACATTCTCGAGATATTGAAGGTCAAAGATGCATTTTAATATTTTTTTTGCGCAATCGAATTCTAAGTATTATTACAAAACTTTTTTCCAAAAAAACATTACCTAAATTTTCGATTTTTCTAAATAAATTACGCATTTAAAGTTACGAACAGTAATGTACGTAATAAATAAATGCAGACCCGCACAAAAAACATCGTGCATCTCATTAGGATTTTTATTTTATAGAATTATTTTGTTGTTGCGAAGTAAAACGTCGACCTACGTACTTATCACAGCGTTTTCATGCTAAGCTGTGAACCTACGCACACAATGACACGAAGTCCGTTTGCTTTACACTGCGCGCAATAAAATTATTATTTTATTTATACCTAAAAATAAAAGTCGTTTCCCAGTGATAATTTTAACGTAAAGCTACTTAGTTAGAACTGCAGTATCCGTAGTTAACGGCTTCGTTAAGTGTCTTTTTACACCCTGTATAATGTCATCGTTTAAATATTGAAGTAACTTAGTATTAGAATTGCATATAATAATGTTAACGGCTTACTCATGTAACTTTTTGACAAAGCACTAAAGAAAACAGCGACCGCGCCAATCCGCGTCGTGTGTCGCGCAATGATGCTCATGAATATGAGCCCTAGCATGGCTTGAAACTTGTCGAAGTTCTCGACGAATAGGTACATGCGTTTAACATAATTAACAAAGAGGTTGTTTATTTACACTAGGTATTTAATAATTGATTTAAAAAAATCCATCTTCCTACTTATAAGGTTTGCGTGATATAGTTAGTATCTTGAGGGAGAAAATCATTCGTCCTGGCTGGGGCAAAAGGGAAAGTCAGAATTTTGCTGATTAAAAACTTTTCATTGTCATCCCACCCCATCATTGTCTTGCTCCGGGGCCTAGTTAGTATTTAAGACTACATTTTTCGAACATAAATTTAAGTCAGTAACAAACATGCAGAAAGCATTCATAAATAATGTAATATGCATTTATGAATATTTATGAAGATTTTAATAGATTTTCAACTTTATTTCTATACAAATACAGATGAAAACTGCCTACCAACAATTAAAGTTTTATAAATCTAGATCTTATCAATACTCAATAAAGCTTGAAAGGAATTTAAATAGCAATAAAGTATTGTTAATTAGGTTTTCCTATTATATGTATGATAATCCCAAATGACGAGAATCTTTTAATTTTAAAGACTTACAAGATAAAACAAATCAATATCTTGATTTAGCCCATGAGTTTTTCAACATGGGATGTGGACTCTTCTTTATACATAATTATCTGCCAATGACTAAAAGCCTCAACCAACACCTGAATAAATGGTTGGATGAATGGTCTGATGCAGATGGCCGTACTTCTGGACATGATGCATATTGTCCAGAGATTCCTTTCTTTGGAACCCTGACCACAGGTGGCTTGTAATTGTAACCCCTCTTGTTATGGTAGTGACTTTATAATAATTAGGAAACATCTTCATAAGTATAAAATTGTTAAAAATAAATAAGCATTGTTATAAGATTAAATGCATCTAGGTATGTAAGATAACACACACATTGATTGAAGTATCTACTGACATACTTAGGGCCAGCTTGAACATTTCTAGATAGCTATTTTGCACCAGATAAATTTGAATATGGAACAAAATTATATTATCATATAGGTTTATCAGGTATCACCTTATAAGATGGTGGTAAAACAGGCACTTGATATGTACATTATGTAATTATTATTTGTCCATGATTCAAGTACATAATTAGTATTTTAACAAACATGTTTATTGATGGAAAATGGTATTCATATGTAAAGTATGTCTTTTTATATTATGAAGGCTACAGGATTCAAAAGACCAGTAGGAGTCCAGCAGCATATGAAATGGCACAGGAGTAGCTAGTTATTTATATTGATGTATTGAACTAAACAATAATAAAAAAAACAATTAATTATGTATTATTAAAATTAAAATACAATAGTTAATATATATTGTTGAAGTTAAAAACATGATTGCCATAAAAAATTTTGGCTTTTAGATGGATCTGATATTAATATGCAATAAGATGCTAAATTAATAATTAATAATTTCCAGGGAAAAAAATCCTGACTATAATATAGCATAAGTCTTATTCAGAAATATATTTTATTTTATTACTGTTAAGTTGCTATGTTACTCCCACAGTGTGTGTTAGTTTACAATTTGTTTAAAAAAAAAGAAATGAAAGATAAACATAATGCTCTAGAATTAATTAAAGTTCTAAATTTAAAATTGTACATTATTATATAATATATATATATTATATTTGTTTTTTTTTTATTGTGTACCTGATGCTCTTATATACTGTATTTTTAATTAATGTAGGTAACAATAACAAATTAAGTATTTGTTTAAATGGTTTCATTGAAGAAACATTCTCTATATTTAGCAATAAGCATCTTTGGAAACCTTTCTCCTTAGAACTCACATCTCTCACATCACAACTGGGTCAAAGATGTTGTTACATTAGACTAGGTATACACACTTTTGCCTGTTTATAAGTATAATATTCAGTAAATACAATACCTATTAGTCCATAGGATAAAAACTTGTGTATGGCAGAAAGAGCCAAACTGGTGACAGGACCAGTAGTCTCCTTGCTCCTGATTACTTCCAAGAATGGGCTCAGATACGTCGCAGGGTCTAGAAGTCGTAAATCATCCACTTGATTCAAGATCGTTTTGAGATCTTGGAATGTTCTCATCAACACGTCATACTCTTCATTTGGGAACGAGTGCGAGCCCCAGCGGGTACTCCGTCGCATGGCAGTGACGAGCATTGCCATCTCGCCCTGGACCACGAAGATACCATTCCCAGGTAGAGACATTTTTGCGAATTTTCAACACAAACTGATCACTAACAACAACTACTTCCACTTTATTTTTTTGAGCAACTACCAACAAACGACATATTTACAACACGTAGGACGAAGGTGCCACACTTCAAAATACAGAATTTTAATATATTATTCACAAATTTCGCCGTAAATTTAACAAAAATCAATGAAAATTCACAATTTGATTAGCAGATTCCATCACGATCATGTTGACGTTTCAGAATTTTAGTTTTTCCATTTGCCAATAGATGGCGTTGAAAAGACTAGAGGTGAGCAAGGTTGATAGCATTTGACAGTTGGGAAATTGTTTTTTAGTCGATTTTTTGAAGGTTTGCAGTCTATCACTTTAGATTTGATGTAAATAGGTTATTTTTTATTTTCAATTTCCAATTAGATTGGTAACATTGCTAAGAAAGATGGTTGACGGTGGTACACTTTTCTGACAAAATTGGAAAACTTAATCTTTTTGTTGAACTCGACGTTTTAAGGATAGTTTTTCAGCGTTGTATGTAACTGTAAGTAGGTGATAATTTTATTTATAGACCTTTGGCATGATTGCACATTTCCTGAGGGCCATACGGGGTGAATGTGCGTTGTCACGCGTGCAATGGCTATCGACATAGATTTGACATTTTATTCTTTTTGTGTTAGTGCGGTTATTCTTACCACATGTATCTTGTTACGTATTGCAGGCGGTTACATTGAGACGTGACAATGGTTAAGAAAAAGAGACAAAGCGATCCTGGTGAGAATGGCGACGAATCTACGGAATCTTGCGACGAGAACGTCAAATCCGCATGTCCCCATGTTGCTAAAGCCGTTGACCTGACCCAGCTGAAGAAGGCTCTCAAAACTGGTGGCTTTCAGAAGGAGTGTTCTGAGTGCAAGAAATCCCCTAAGATTGAGGTTCCTGACCCAGACTACGAGGAAGATCTTTCTTTGTGGATGTGCTTGCGCTGTGGTTCGCAGTTATGTGGTCGAACGCGCAATAAACACGCATTGCACCACTTCCAGACACCGCGCTCTGACTGCCATGCACTTACAGCCAACACCACAACCTGGGACATCTACTGTTATAACTGCAATAATGAGGTTACTGCTTCAAGTGCTAAAAAGCTCCATGAATGTGTAGAATACCTTAAGAAACAGGCTGCTGCAGGTGGTAATGCTAAATCACTCCCTCCAATAGAACTGCCTTTTATACAGGACTCTAAAACTGACATAGCAACTGTTGAAACTATAATTAAAATTGACCCATTATCAAAAGGAAAAGACAAAGCAATATTCAATGGATTACCAAGGGTCCGAGGACTCACAAACTTAGGAAACACATGCTTCTTTAATTCAGTCATGCAATGTTTGGTACAAACACCATATTTATTGCAAGTTCTGCAAGAGATGGCTAACCCAGGGGAGAGGTTTACATTGCCTGGTGGTAAATTGAAGTTGAAACCTGATGGTGATGACGGTAAGGAGGTGGAACTGCCTCCAATAACGGGCCAGCTGGCTGAATGGGGAACATTGACTAGGACACTAGCTGAGACCCTGAGTGAACTACAGGCTGGTATGTACAAATTGATTTATTCGTTATTTATCCATTCAACCTTTACATGATAACTCCTAATGTACTACAACATAAACCTTCAATTTATTACCTCAATATCTTTGAATACACAAACATTTGTGTGCATTAACAGAAATTAATGTTCTATACAAACCAGTTAGGTATTTAATCTAGTTTTTATTGCATTCACAATTACAACCAAATCAATGAACGAAAACAAATCTCACAGCAGTCAAAACTTTCAGAAATAAATCTGCTCATATATTTCTTTGGAATACTTTCATTTATTTATTAGAATAAATGGTTGCAGTTCTGTGTTGAGGAACATTCTTGCTGTTTGAATAGGTTAAAATCATTTCTTTGTTTACATTGTGCTTTATTTTTGTATATGATTGTTATTGAGAATAATTAACAGAATATTTACATTGTTTTCAATTACCAGTGGATTTGATACAGTGCCCCAGTTACTTTAGATCCTAAATATCAGAGTAATTCATAATATAATTCCATCTTCATTCAATATGTGTGCCAATTAGACAATTTAATTATTTCCTTTGTCCTTATAAATGTGTGTCATACTTATATAGTATAAACAAAAGCTTTGTTTGATTACAATTGCAATACTTTACAACTGATTTCATTTATTTCTTGGTTCAATGTTTTTCTTATTATAATCTTGTTATTTTATTATTGAGTGAAATAATCAAATATGAAGTCTTTTAAAGATTTTATTGTTTGTAAAGAGTATTTCCAGGAGTTAGGTCCATCTTACTTGTGTCAAGTGTTTTGTTTTTAAATGTTTTTGTTTAAAAATAGTATCTATTATGTGCTACATACATTTATAGGATTTTAAAAACGAGTTAACATATTTCTCATTTGACAACTTAATTACCAATTTTTTTTTAATGAAATTGTTTAAGGCCAAATATTATTTGCTGAAATGGGAAAAAAAATACACTCAAATCTAGAAAATCATGTATCTCAGATATAATCATCCCATACAAAGCTGATTACATTCATTTAGTATTGACAAGATGTCTCCAAGCACAATTTGTAGCCAACCCACAACATAGGTTACCTATAATTAGATTTGTGACCTGATTTCACGCTTCCCTCGTCTAGTCTACCAGTCTGGAGATGTTTTATAAATATATTTTATACTTTACACAGAAAATTTTATGGCAGTGAGAGTTGTTTTGGGTTAAAAGCTATTTCTGTATAGTTATTTACTGATGAGGACTTTAAATTATGATAGCTTGTTTATTAATTCAAAGAAAGTTATGTTCATAATTTATTGTGCTGTAAATACAATGGTATATATAGTTATTCTTTGTTTACAAATGTGGTATTTAATAATACATTTTTTATATTTTTGATGATATTAAATTAAACTTAAGAGTTTATTAGTTACTTTTTTAAATATATTTTTTATTGAACATGAAAGAAACAATATTTCTGTCACCAGGATGAGATTTGCACCATTATGTGGCAAAAGTTTTTCAATGTTATCACAATTATGTATGTCCCAAGTACTGATAAAGTAGATACGGGCATTATTTTGATAATGATTATAATACATTGACATTGAGTTGACAATCTTGAACTTGTGTTGTAAAGCTTAGCTTCTGTTTTATAACTATCAACATAGATGCAATGCAAGTCATTAAAAAAATACTATCCACCATTATCAGTAATGTTCAGTAAGTAATGTCCAAATTGTTTAACTAATTGGTTTATAAGTTTAAAAATAGATTATTTGACTTAAAAATGCAATGGATTATATTAAAATACAATTATCTTAAATTCATTGATTTGACAATATAGATCTAAATAAACTATATTGTCAAATCTATGTTGCAGATTTTTTCTTGCTGTTTCTTCGGAAATAAGTGGCATTACATATTGTGATCTCATAAGAAAGTATTGTTTTTGACCTTTCAATATAAGTTTTAATTTTGTCTAGTTAGAAACTACCGTATTCGAAATAAAATGGACATCCAGCTTAGAAATAATGATCTCACACCATTAAGATTTTGGGGGTTGTGGGACATCGCAATGATGAAGTGTGATGATTTTTCCCTCACCAATAAGATTTATATTATAAGTGATTCAAATATTAAACAAAAAAGATGGAAAACAATATCCTTTTATATTTTAGGGTGTGTTTAGATTATACTCGAGAATAGTTCCATCCAGGTATTGCTTGAGATATTCAATGTACTATTCCTAAGTTAAAAAAAAATATAATATGGCTTGTTTTCAACTCTCAGAGTTCTATTCGAATTTTAAATTAAATGACGACTACCATCACTCTATACTCAAAGACCTTCTCTTGCATCAAATTAAAAAAAAATATTGCCCAAGAGGAAAACTTAAGTATACCTAACTTCCTGAAAGGATTAAAAACTGGCTATTTATCATCCTAATTACTTCTTTATCAGATTTCACAGCCTTGTCCACGCGATTATCGCTAATGTAATACTCAGAGCTTTATTTTTTATAGCAATAGTTTTTTAGCCTTCTAGCTGTCAAACAGTTCCCGTTATTCTTATTTACAATTCTCTATGTAAACTCTATGTATGTAAATGTTTCTTGGCCGGCGCATTCGACATTATTATGTACATTTGATATAAATAACAGTACAATGTATTGTAGGCACTTTCCATTGAATATTTTAATAATTTATTATCATAGTATGTTCTTGCATTACTCTAGAACTTTTAAGGGCTTACTCCCAGATCCATAAAAGACCAGCTACACAATTTTCTTCTTTTCTCCTCTGAAGGTGGTCTTTGGATTTCCAAGGGCAAGGCCCATTATGAATGAAATGGAAACTTTATATACCAGATAACTTAATAATAATCAATTATCCAGCTCGGAGATCAAATCTGGATCTATTTACCTTACAGACAAACGAGTCAGTATATATATTCTATGAATTCTTTCATTATAATTATGTAGAAAATAATAACCAGTTCTATAAATAAAAGTATGAATTTAGCCTCACTCCTTAGCTGGTATTACGACCGAGGCGAGGGCGCAATTACGCGCGTTCAAGTTTATAAGTATTTATGCAATCGGTGAGGAAAACACCAACTCAGGGTTACGTGTGCTGCGTCAATATGTTTACTATAGTTTCAAGCACAGATATAAGGTTATTCGAGAATATTATGTTAAGATTTTTGGTTATATTATGTGCCAAGTCTTTTAGACTTGAAAAAATAGTGTCACATTAATATTCTTTTCGCCATTATTGCTTTAAGGGTGGTCCTATTATTGTGGTATAGGGGGTTGCTATCACTAAAATTGTCAAAAACTGAATAAGTAATACTTTACTCGACCCTAAAACCTAAACTCTTGAAAAACTTTGGAATATTTTACATCCAGGTGAAGCTTATCCCATGTTTAAAGTACAAAATGACTTGAAAATGAGTCACTCAACAATTCACCTATATATCGATTGTGTCATATTTTTGCATTTGAAGCTGATAAAATACAGTTTTCTTTTGTTTTTATTTTATAATCTGCCCTTGAAAGCTTTCGTGCTTTGCTGCGAATTTACTAAGTTTGTAATTCAAGCTCAAAAATGTACCCCGGCTTCAGCCTGGAGTAGGAGAAGGAACGGAGTGGTTTTCTGTCAATAATAATCTGGCACTCTTCAATGCACTCAGGGCGAAGTCATTTAATGAT